TTGTCGCCCTGCATTGTACTACCCACCGAACAGTACATTTTTGTAGCATGTTATGTTATCTAAAACTAGAACCAATCAGCTATGCACGCCATTGACAAATATGGCATATTGTAGCAACCCTAGCGGCTAATATCAAGCATAAAAAGAAAGGCATTCGGTTGTCTTTATTCGTAGCCCACAATTGCTGCGCCGCATATTTTGAATACCCAATGGCGATAGCGAAACTGCATAATATTGACGCAGAGTACCATCTTCTCACCTGAGACATCCTTAGCATTAGTTCTGGTTTTGCTATTCGATTATTTAATGGCAAAAATTGGCTGAGGCATCGCGTGTATCTTCGTTGGCCCACAAATACTGACAGAATTGGAATGCTTACCCATCTCAACGGCGATCTGAAAGGAATTTGACTCTCCGTGAGTGTTGGGTGGAGCCGTCTGGAAACTCAAATACAAACCACTTAAGGTAACCTAGGGGTCCAGGGCACATACCTGGGGTTTGGTATTGAGCCTTCCCAAACTTCACAACATTGATTATTCTCGGAGATATATTGCAGGCTCATGAAATATACCCAGGTCAATCGAGGCTTACAATTTTCACAAAATTTTGAGTGCTTGTTCTGTGAGGCACAAGATTGCGTCTCACATCTATCTCAAACAACATGGCTGCAGCATATTTGCCGTCTATGAAAATTAGGAAGAGATATGCCTGTGATAAATGTCATAATCTAAAGAGCAAATGCATGAGGACCTCAGAGGATAATGAATGCAAGCGATGTGCAAGACTCGGATTGGATTGTGTATACAGTGCACCCTTGCCCCTCGGCCGGCTGAGAGGAAGACGACGGCCGAATTCTTCTAGCAAAACTGCCCCATCCGATGATACTAGCTCATATATAGCTTCCTCTGAAGTATCACTGAGTCTAGGTACGCTATCTCTCCTCGTAACTTTCATGCTTGCTAATAACCCCTTAGGTGGCAATTATACTTATCAGAATAGTGGGGGAGAAGAAGCTCAACAGAACCATAGTAAGTGGATTCTAACGACGTCACGCATAACTAAGGTACTGATAACTCAAAAGTACCATCATTACACAACTCACTCTCTGAGAAAATTTCGTCGAATAATGGGCGTAATTATTGTGCCCCTCCCTCTCGATACTATCCGGATCAGGGAAACCCGAGTTTAGCCATGGACATCGTCACGAATAACCCGCCTACCGGTATCTCGAATAACCAGCAAAACATAACAGACACTCTTCAGATTGGAGATATTGGCTTCCAAAACATTCAAACCCAACTGTCCTTCTGCCCTGACCCTGATTTATCTGCCACGATACCGAATAGCTCCACAAATGAAAGCTACCCAGAAGTATCCTACCGTCGACTTTATCAAATTTACCGTCTTCACACCAAGATCGGGATCTACTCGCTTTTTTTACTTCCCCGTCTATCCAATCTTCGATAAACACGATACCTCCTAACCGTGATGCAACACTAGCTGAAATCCTCAGTGCTACTGACGAACTTGTCCAAATCATCAGCACCTGTGGATCTGAGGTTGATTTCCGCAGTGATATTTCACAAGGTAGACAATCGCACTACGAATCATACAACCAGCCGGCCATTGCCTTCCCCTGTCACACTAGCCCAAGTTGTCAACCCTTGAGTTTTCCAATCATTATATCTAGCTACACCAATCTTCTCCAGATATATGACCCTGTCATTGCAGACCTATACACTTTGATCCAAAGACTACCATCCTCATCCCCATCCCAACAGCAACGATGGCACAACAGTCCTACTGGAGTTCCACTCCAAGCGGCAGAAATCTTCCCGGGGAGGCTGAGAGTCCTATCAGACACAGAGCCAAATGTCTATTTCCTCGTTAGTCTGGTCTCTCAGTCTGTCGAACGACTACAGAATGCAACCTGGGGCTACTTGCGGATGTTGTTCCCAGAACAACGTAGCCAAAATCTGATGCATGCAACTGGGGGGTTCAAATTCCCAGTTAACGGAGAGGGTACCACAAGAAATGCGCTATAGAGAGCAAAGAATTTTGGGATGGCTCCATGCGGTTAAAAACATGCAACCAGACCTATTATACTAGAAGTAATCAGTTTTACTCTCCGTACGCAATTGTTCGGCTTACTTTTCGTATCCATCTTGTAAGAAATATTGGATACAGTGCCTTCTAAGGCTCAAGACCTTAATACCGTTTGATACATTAGTGTGTTTAATTTATATTGGACAATGTGTGTTGCTGTTGAGAGAGACTAGGATTATTTCACGGCTTGAGAAACTAGTGGAATATTCGTACGCGTGTCCAGTGTCTTCTGATGCATTTCCGGCCACACCGATTTTCCATAAAAAATGCAAGCCAACCGCTAACTATGGTCTAATACTTCGAACACTAGATTTTGTGTTGTCAGCCTCCATGCTCCCCAGCTATAAGAGATTCTCGGCCAAATGCGGAGTACTTAGGCCACATTCATCGGCGGGTCTTAAGCCTTACCGCCCCCTTATTGAAAGCACGACTACACCATTCGAGGAATATCAAATGCTGACCCTCCGTATCTGGGGAAGCTGCACCTCACCCTAGGAGAAGTAGATATGGGCTGCATGATACGCGATTTATGTATTCGACTATACTTGAGCCCGGAGCAACCTAGATCTCAGCCAATCCGGTCATGGGTCTCAGCCAATCCGGTCATGGGGTTCTCCTGCTTGAGGCTTTAGTTTACAGAAAATTAATTTGGAGATTCCAGAGACCCAGAATTACAGAACCTCGTCAAGGCAGATAACTGACCACCCTTTGACAAAAGGTAATGAATGATATAATCGTTCTAAACCTAGGGGTTTCTGTCAACCTCTCAATAGGGAGACTTATCATGGCTTGAAAAGTGACCAGACCAGAGCCCCAGGGATTCTCCTATGACATACTGATTTAACTAAAGTAGCAAACTCCGAGGCGTGTTAGGCTAATCTGGGTAGGCGCCGTTGTGAGGCTTTGTATCCATTACCTCCCCAGTCGGTGGCAATTGCAGGACAGTTTTCGAGCATGTCAATGAAAAACTCACACGTAGGGGAGTGAAAGGCCTGGCTGGCCTGAGCGTGAGCATTGTAGTCTAGATGGGATAATGCGAGACAACCGAGGAGATCTTCGTCATCAGGGAGTCAAGGACCAGCCTATACAGAGCGAAGAGTAAGCTGATTACTTAGTTATGTGGACTGTTGGCCCGCAAATACATATAACTAAATTCACGCATACTGACCATTCTTTCAATAGTTAATTGTTTAAGACATGGTCCATATCCCTGGGGCTAACCTTTTGCTTGCATCAAATTTCAGATGCCTCGCTCCCTGGCTTCACAAACTATTTATATCAACGGCAAAATACGAACTCCTGAAGATCTATCCCCTTTTTGTTTTTTTCATAACTAACTAACAAATGCGATGGGATAAAAAGGCTGGGAGTTGACGTAAACATCTGTCGTCTTTGAGATGTGAAATAACGATAGTTATCAGCGTCGATTGGTTGATTATCCGTATCAATATTTCTGTTGCTATCAGCGCATCCATAACAGTTTGAGGGCTTTGTTTTTACACGTCTTGCCAGAGATGATCCAGACATTATACCAACCGTAAAGGACATGTTTACCTGGTTAGTTGACTATCGCGTAATCAATGATCCTGAATACCTGGGTCCTGATAACTAGGAAGCACAAAGAGAGGCATATAGGCATCTAGGGGTCTTCGCGGGACGGCAGACAGGCAGCGCCAACCGCAATGCCTGGATGGTTTCCGACTGAGAGGTTCGATACTGCAGGATGGCGACTGGAAGGCGTCGGCCTTCTTGCCGTGCTTGGGGAGTCATCTGTGGCTGATCAAGCCCAGCCGCTGACTGCGTCTAAGTTGTCTCTACTGCCGCGTTTGATACCAGCACCGCAGGCTCTGCTTCGTGCAACACGCCCGGTGCGGCTTCCAAGCCCTCCAGCAGTTGTTTGCGGCGTGCATTCAGGGACACTGGTTCATGAGTTGAATTACTTCCCCAATATCATTCATCCAATCGCTGACTTGAAGCCGTACCAAGTGGTTGTGTACGAGATCTCTTGGGCCGAGAAAAGAACCAAGTACGAGAAATCACAGAGCATCAAACTGGAAAAGCTGATCATGCCTGAAGGCCTACGCTCCAAAAGACCCGTCTCTGTGCCACCTCCGCATAAACATGGAAACAAATATGCGATTACCCCAAATAAGTGGTCGCCTCTAAGCCTGATCACCATCTCGTCCTTCTTGATGACCGCATGCGCCTTTGCTTGGGCCCTGGTCATAAGGGATGGGACGGCAGCAGTTGCAATTTTCCTAATGTCCATGGTGTCGACGCTGAACGGATTTGCTTTTTATTGGAAGCCTCATCTGGCCGTGCGGCCGTCATCTGCAGTTGTGCCAAGGGGAGACATCATCATACGGACCCGCGAGGGAGCTTTTATTGTCGTGCGATGCACCGAGGAGCTAGCTCGCGAGCTCTATACTGGTACGGAGGAATGCAACTACTCCCTTAGTGAGCAGTGGGCAAGGGTTCTAGTGGGTATCGGGACGTTCTTCATCATGTTTGCCGTCGTGCTACTCGGCAATTGTGAATGGACGATGCAGGCTGTTGTGTCTGCAATTTACATGCTCATGAACGCCATGTACTGGGGATCATCGCTGATGCCTAAAAGTTGGATATGGGATATGTCTCGCTATGATTGGAAAGATGTCACCCCAGACAACGTCAAGGCAGCCCATGAGATTGGCAGCGATGGCGCCCAGCCAAGTTTCACACGGACTCTCTGGTATGCCATCCACGCCACGGAGGAGATCAATTGGGTGATTGTTAGCGGCGCGGTTCCGCAGACCCAAGCATGGGAGAATTGGCTTGAGCTTGCATATGCAAACCGTACTGATCCTGACTGGGACGCCGTTGGTGAAAAGGATCGGTTGATGGCAGAAGCTCGCCGATCCCAGCTAGTACCGTCTCATAAGGATCACGACAGTTAGTGGCGTTACGCCTTCTTCGATTTGATATCAACATAGTTGTGTGCCATGGACCCATTATTCCCTATCTTCTCTGCCATTTCCTTTTCTTTCTTTTCCTTTTTTTTCATATATTTCTTTTTCCCCGTTGAGATATTGGGTTTTACCACGATTTCACGAAGTTTTTCTTTTCCTCTGTATTGCAAATAACTACTTCCATGCAGGTAGGCCATGGCGTCTCTGTGGCCCATTTTGTCTCAACCTCTTGACCTTTTACCATGCAACGCATCTGAACAACGTTCAGGAGGACCGTGCATCAGCTGCAGTTATCATGGCGCTGGTAGGGCAAGATCAGGACTAACCTCCGTAGAGGGCGTTGATACATCAGCCCTTCAAAAGAGCAGAATGATGAGAATTGGAGGTGTACTCGGCGAGATCAAATGTTAAGATAGTTCTGGTTCATTCATGCCGGTGTAGCCGCGTAATTGGCACTGCATCTAACACGCTTGGGTCTAGTCTAAAATTCTCACCTGATACCACCGGCTGCGCAAAAGATAAGTCAATCTCAATAACATTTGGAGTTTCTCCCTGTGGGCGTGCTGGTGCTTTTATTGCGGTTTCGTCGTAGAGCCGGGCAAGAAACCGCATCAACGCTCCCACAACATGCACCTTTGTATTTCCTGAACTGCCAGCACAGCTTCTCAGTGCCTCGGCGATTAATCCAGGGGCGTAGTACGGCAGGATCGCTGGCTTCATATTCAGGCCATCAGCGCCTAGCCCACCCACGAGGTTCTTTCTTATGTTTTCTGGTAAATTGCCGAATGCTTCTGAAAAGCAGCCTGCCAAAGATAGATCTGCTACTCGCCCCATTGTCAACAGCCGTAGTAACGCTCGTTCCTCCGGTATGCGAGCAGATAATCTCCTAAACCCAGTCTCCTCGAGGATCCTTGCACGGCAAGTCAGAACGTGGTCGTACGCCTGGTTCAAAGAGAGTATTCCACTGATGGCTCCAACTAGAGCATCGTATACTGCGAGGTAGCTTCGAAATACTGGCTGAACCATCGCCCCTGCACTTCGAGAGTCTATGTGGCCGGCAGCTCCTGCGATATCCAAAAGAACTTCCATATATTTCAGGAAAAATGCCCTCTCTCTGTCACGCATTGCATATATGCTTTCAAGGCTCGCAGGAACGTTCTCAGCCTGAGCCAACTGTGCGAGATTAAAGCTTGAGCCAACCTCGAGTCCCAACATCAGATCTGATCTCAGATCCGGCTGAAGGGTATTGATGGAGGGTATTATCTGAGCATTCGCAGCCGCTAAAAGGACTTCATCATGGTTATCGTACGTCTGACCCGTGATCTCCGCCACTGAGGTCTGAAGGCTGTCGTCTTTTCCAAGGTCGTTGACCACAATCGCCACGAGAAGAGCGTATATCTCGTATGGATGCGGAAGCCCCCCAGATAAAATGGTATACAATCTCTCAAACGATTCAGGCTGGAGTCTTCTCTCCTGGTTTTGATGACGGGTGAACGAATTGTAGTCGTTAGACCATAGCCATTTCAAGGCGAGCATTCCAACGAGCGTCCGGTTGACTTCCACAGAGTCTTCGCCAAACAGGAGCTGTGACGGTGTAAGACCGTCGTCATCGAGGTTTCCTAGCGTTTTTGTCCCGGAAGTCTCTACCGTGGGCTTTGCATGCTTCAGCCGGCCGAGTTCCCAGTAGAACGTAGCTCCAAAGAGTTGAACTGCCTGGGTATCACTAAGGGTAGCAAAAGTGCCATCTTCAATGCTAGCCAGCAGCGCCATGTCTTTTACTGTCTGTGTTCCCTCAGGCTTCTCTTCCTTTCTTGACATTCTAGTACAGCAAACGGAACTGATGGCCCTTCGAAAGACGTTCGTACTGAAGTGCAGCATCGTGACTAGCTATGGATCTATCTTCCTCACAGTTGCCTGTGGAGGAAGAAGCAGGAACTATATCTGGTCCATTGTTAGAGAACAAACAGGCCGCAAGGCGACTCTCACACAGCGCTTCAAGGCCCAGTTTACTCACAAGCCCTTCAGGTTCAGCCTTGAGGCCAGAGATGGTGAATTAACTAGCGAACGAACTACGCCGCCCAGCAATCTGGAGAGTTGGATTTAATTAATATCGAAGGCTCAGCCACCCGCAGCAGGCCATTTGTGTACTGAGCCAGCCAGCACGACTTTCGTGGCTATCCCCGGCATCGTTCTAGCTTGCCCATCAAGGAATTATTCAATGCTCCATACGGAGTACATGGCTAGATGATGTGCTGCAGCGAGTTGTCTTTCCCGTCGCTTTGGCTGCCCACTGGCAGCGTCAACATGCAGTCCCCTGTTGGTGACAGCGGCTGAGCATCTCCTTTCTTCCCTTGCATTTACAACGTACAGCTGGTACTATTCTTGATGACGACAGACAGTATATTTGCGACTGCAATCATTGCGATATCTAGTTACAGACCGTAGACATTGAAACGTACAGATGTCTCGGCTTTATCAATCTCCATATGTTTGTGTGTGCGTGCGGAAGCTCGTATTCGCCGAGGCGAGATTAGATCTTGAATTCATCGATCATTTAAAGGCTTGACAGGGCGCAGAGAGAATTAATCACGTCACTGTACATCATCCTCACAAGGCAAGTGGTCTTCGAGCCCTGAAGTTGTATCTAAAATGGCTGCTCCAAATGCCCGACATGCTCTGGTTCTGGGCGCATCAGGCATATCAGGCTGGTCGTTGATCAACCAGCTACTGCAGAGCTATCCACGAGCCGGCACTTGGAGCCGCATTACCGGAGTGACTCGGAAACCGATGAACAGTGAGGAAGTCTCCTCCTGGCCTCAGAGTCGTGAAGATCAAGCATTTCGTCTTGTATCTGGCTTTGATATCCATAATGACCCGAAGCAGACATTGATGGCAAAGTTCCAGGAGGAAGTGCCAGATATACACACAGTGACACATCTATATTATCTCAGTGCGTGATATTTTTATAAGGATCAATACTTGCAGTAGTACCTAGTGTGCTGACATCTTTCGTTGACTTGCCAGTACAAGACCCTCCATCTAATTATAACGATGATGAACCATTCGTACCAAGCCTCAAATCTCTCCAGAAAACAGTGACGGTGATCGAAAGCCTTGCTTCGAACCTCGAGTTTATTCACCTTCAATACGGCACCTTTATATATGGGGTGTGCTTCACCGAGGAATTTTACCACACTGCTCCTCTTTCGGAGTCGTTGCCCCCATTGCGAAAGTCACTTCTTGATAGGCTTCACTACCCGGTGTGGACAAAATGGATGCACGAATACTCAATAGACAAGCCATGGAAGTGGTGTGAAACTCGGCCGGATGAAGTTATAGGTATGTTAACCATTTGACTTCTCGTTCCTAAAGCCCCATTTTCTCTTAGTTAGATATAAGTTGCTGACAACACTATCACAAAGGATTCGTTCCACGAATGAACTCGTATAATGCAGTCTACCCCATTGCCATGTTCTTATCATTATATAGATTTATCAACGGGAAAGGTGCTGCATGTCCGTTTCCCGGTAGCCTCGGAACCTGGAAAGCCCTTGCAAGTGATGCCGGAGCTGATATGATCGCAAAGGCCTCCATTCATTTGTCTCTTCATCCTAGCCCATGGATCAAAGGAGAAGGGTTCAATGTAGCATCTTCGGAAACGCCGTGGAGATGGGAGATGAAGTGGCCACCTCTTTGCGAATGGTTTGGGCTCATTGGAGAGCCGCCGGTGGATAATGAGAAGAGCAAAACGTCGTCACCAGGGCCTGACAAGTATATTCAATCACATGAGGCAGAATATAAGAGTATGATACAAGAGTACGGTCTAAAGGCTTGGGATGTTGCTTCCCCATCTATGGATGGCTCAGAGAACTGGGGTTTGACCAAGCTAAATTTCGACCGGTACCTCGACCTCCAGAAGTTAAGATCCACTGGCTTCATGGAAGACGAAAGTCCACGAGATACGTGGATTAATGTTCTGGAGTTGATGAGAGCAGCGAGGATTATTCCATGACTCGGCAGAAATCAGCATAGAAGCAAGAGCTTCCCACTTCCCGTTTATGGCGAGTATGGATAGGACCTTAGAATTTGAAGGGAGACTTGAAGCTATTCAGGGGGGTAGGGGTTGGCGGGGCTTAGTAGAACTGTGGAGGGCGCTTCGGTGTGCCCTGGTCTTTTTGGGTATCGGAGTGCTGAGGATTTTCATTGGACTGTATGGCATCAAGTTTTGACCTCCATTCCAACTCCTCTTGTTCGATCTCTCTTAGTACTGGGACCAAAAGTCAGCAAAACCGTTGTTTCAGTCCCGACTATTCGATTACGAAGAAATCACGGAGGTATAACTACCTTCTTCCCATTCATCCTCTGATGCTTTGTTTCCCGTACCAAGGGTCTTCCTCACATCCACATCCTCGCCGTTTTTGAGCCTGTCAATGACCTCACTTAGCTGGCGTATCTTCGAGTTCGTACTTCGCAGAAAATTCTCATGAGAGGTCCGAAGTTGAAGCAGATGGATTGCTTGGGAGCCTATTAATATGAACATGAGGATGTAGAAAACTGATGGATGTCGCTCCATGATTCCCGCATCTGTGCCTTGTTTCGGTCCCTTTTGACTTTCGCTCCGTAGAAATTTGGGTATTACCGAATTCCACATCGATGCATCCGCAATCTTGGGTGTCATCCGTCCGGTCGAGATGCATTTGTACTGCTGAAGTGTGAATCGAGATTGGCACGAGCTTGTTCGCGGGAGGATTAAAAGTTGTTTCGATAGGGTTACGGCCCTCAGCTGAGGTTTAGACATTATGGTAGCTATTTTAATAGTGCAAAAGCGCTCTGTAGCACAGAACCAAATCCCGGGGGGCAAGGACACGGAGAGCAAGGACAAACAGCTGTTTGATGCTTGACGTCTTCCTTCTTTTCGAGACTTTCTCAACTTTCGCGTTTCTTTTCCTAAGCTGTATGATCACGTGAATGTTACATAAGCAAGGCGTTGCCGGGCAACCAAACTTGCTCGATGTTTAAACCAACAACGAAGCTTCATCCTTGACTGGTAAAAAGAGACGTCAAGGATGAGACGGCGATAGGATGCGCGTGCAGGACACCAGAGATCCACGGTTTTCTGACATTTACAAGAGAGAATGGGTGGGATATTACTCCCTACGCTGGCCGATTCGGTCAAGCATGATCTTCAGCACCCATCGAAATGCTCGACCAGAACCGTGACCACTTTGCGACAGCTGTTTATGAGCACCGTGAACGATGAGCTACCAAAGAAAACAAAAACGTCGAAACGAGCAACTGCAAGCAAGCCATCTTCAAGACCCACGCGAACCATCAGAGTCCGAGGCACTTCGAAGAATGCTCTTCCCCCACAGCCGATGAACGAGGAAAACCCGCCGGTATTGTCAAAACACGAAAAGCTGGTACTTGCGACTGAAGTGTTTAATATCGCATCAAAACTGCTCTCTGAGCATATCAAGAAGCATTCATCTCCGCGAATTACCAAGACAGCTGGGGAAAATGGAAGTCAACAAGTTAGGACTACCAGCCCGGCAAAAATACCGTTGCAGCCAGCATCGCCCAACCCCAAAGTTCACCAAGCGGAGAACCCGAAGAAGATCCCAGAAGAAGGTATAAAACGCAACGGGAACTGCCGAATCAATCTAATCGCGGAGTGTGCCATACTATCATTAGAGATTCTCCGCAGTATACGAATCTCCGAAGACAATTTCGACCCGAATAACATACATCTTGGGCAGGGAATAAATATACTGGTTGGGAAACTATTGATTCTTGGACTCCAGGACTTGGCCCTAAAGGGGTTGTGGATGCTGAAATCCACTCTTCTGATTGCCATTGAAGCGGAGCGAACGAAAAGAACAAATGGGTTCGAGAGAAAGTATCTGGATTCGCAGAATGCTTCGCTGGAATCACTCCTAGAATTCCAAACCCTTCCAGAAAATGGGTCACTTCTACAACTTATGGTGTCCTTTCAATCCTATGCTTTCAAAGTTCTTTTAATCGATGGGAACTTCACCACCGGCCATAAAGCTCTTCAACAACTGCGGTTAGGGAATCCATGCAGCCCTACGAATACCATTCTAGCAGCAAACAAAATAGGAATTGTCCCTGACGATAGGGCAGCCCAACAGCTCCAGTTTCATTCACAAAATGTGCTAACTTACTCCATCATACTCTCTCCTGCAGAGGAGAAGCAAGCTCTAATCACTCGTCCAGAAAATCCAATGGTCCCTTTACTACTTCAGTTCCTGGCATTGGAAATCCGCTGTATCTGGTGGAAACTGTCCGGCCATAAGTTGGACCTAGCTAAAGAACTTTGGGGCCCGCTTTCCCGATTTATTTCGACTTACGTTCGACGGTGCCCCAATTCTCACAAGCATGAGTTTGATGCCATTCAGGCTGCGTTTAATCAATTGGAAGCCCGGCTAGAGTCAATTAAACCCCTAGGAGATGATGAATACAAGTCTTCATCGATGGCTACAGTTGTAAAAACACTTGGCCAAATAGCTTACAGCGCTGGCCGGCTAGAAACCGCGGCTGAACTTTGCGAGGCTTCCTCTACGTCGCTCGGCGATGTACGGCCATTGCAACGTGCAATATACCAATGTCGAAAGGCTTTACTGAAGGTTGAATCACTGAAGTCACAGTCTACTTCAGAGTCCGAAGCTTTCCAGGCAGTCAATGAAGCTGCAACAAATTTGACTGCATCCATGAAGGGTAATCAAAACGAACTGGACGAGCTACTCATGGAAAGTGCGCTCCTTAAGAAAATAATCATGAAACATATATCTCAAATGGAACCATCTTCCAAGAAACGACTAGATGGCCCAAACACGACCCATGATTCAGCCCTAGCTTATTTGACGAGTTTTCTAAAATTTCTTATACGTTACCTGGCACCAGCAGTCCACGCTTCTCAGCAAGATGATTCTAATGCCGTGACGCAATATCTGCAAAGATGCGGTAACATTGTTTTGGCGGCAATAGATTCGGGGATTGCTGTTGGAAAACTTTCTTCAGGCTGCGGTTCGCTATCCTGGGCCAAAGTTGAGGCCCTTCTGCCCATTTGTGTCTCACTCAGTCAGCTACTGCAAAACCTCGGTACTTCGTGTGAACTAGAGAGCTGTCTATCTGGCGAAGCGTCAGTTCGGTTACTAAGAATATCGAATTTATACTGGGCAACATATATGCGGTATAAAGACCTTGGTAATGGCCCTGTTGAATTGCTTCTACCCGTGGAACAGGCTACAAGTATCCTGCAACATTCCGCCCTTACGGAACAGATATCAGGACTTCTTGCAATTAAATTCGAGAGGCAGGCAGCGTTGTATTCAGAAATCGGCAAGTCCAAACAATCGACCAAAGCATATACCTCGGCAATTCATACCCATTTTGAAGCAGGGGTTTTAGCAACTGCCTGTCAACTGTCGTCTAAGGAACATCCGCGTCTTATTTGGAAGGACCCTAAAGGACCCGGGTATGCCCTCAACCGGGTTTTAAGCTGCTATATCAAGGAGCAAATCAAATGTGCTTCAGGAGCAAATTCGGTGATATATGATGCTGAAGATCTCAAACCATGTCAGCGAGCAACTCTTCTTGAACAGGAACTGAACATCCTCATGGGACTTAATGGCCCTTCAGCGTCATCCATAGTGACGGAGACTCTTCCGCCGTTATTGTCAACAATCCTCTCTTTGTTGCCCTTGGACACCTACCCGATCCGCCGAACAAGGATTATCCATCAAACCCTGCAGTATCTGCTAGAAACTAATGCGAATTCCAGCAAGGAATTTTCCAAATTTATTCTTACTGAAGCAGCCCACTGTTTGTCCTCCTCCATTTTACCGGCCGAAGATAAAGATTTGGTTTTATTTCGAGACGATCTTCAGGCATCATTAATGATCACTGTTGCATTCTATTCAGGTATGACGCCTTTGAATGTTTTTGAGAACGCCATCCAGACCTGGGTCGTTATTGTTCAAGGCTGCGAGTCATGGGAAGCTGTCCAAAACCGGATCGGGGACCCTCTTTCCTTAATCATTCATTTACGCAGTTTGTCAGATTATCTTGAAATCAGAGGGCTGTGGAGACTGAGGATATCTGCCCTTGTTACTATCAGTCAACTACTTATTCTGCAAGACAAGCCAGACTTTTCAATGATGGTTTCTTGTTATTCATCCATTGCTCTCCAATACTGCCGACTAGGGTATTTGGACAAAGCTTACTATATGCATAACAGAACTAAGGCAGTTATACAAGAACATACAATATCTCCCCATGCATTGCTTTCCTGGCATCTGAGCTTTGCGGAGTATATTTTAGAAAGGGGAGATCACTCAAAGAGGTATAATAAGGAAGTACCATTTCCATTCATATGTTTAAGCACTGACGGATAAATAGTATCGAGAGCATATTTCAAGTTCAATCAGTGTTTGATAACGTTTCTGCGGATCTTTCAAAGGAAACTTTCCAAACGAGGACTGCATCTGAGCGTTTGGCAACGGACGCTGCGACTATATTATCTCGGTCTTTCTACGCTAAGGGATATCCTAATGAAGCAGCTTACTATGCAAAACGTGCTGTCAAGCTTAGTAGTCGATTATGGACCCGTCTAGAGAAATATGTCGAAGCAAAGTCAGAGAAGCATTGCAGAGATAAGAGCACAGATCCAGACTCCCTTGCAGATGGTATAGCCACTCTCCATATCCGTACGAATAACAGCAGCCCACCAAAAAGTCACTTCGAAGGCTCCGTTTACTGGCCATATATGTCTTCTCATGTCGCGGCGTTACTTCAACTATCAAGAATCTCAGATCACAATGGAATCTTCCAGGATGCAGTCTATCACGGAGAACAAGCAATAGCTGTTTGTGATGCGGTGGGTGCTCAAGCACTATCCTCCCTCATTAGAGCAGAACTAGGCGATCGTTTTATTCGAGGAGGCCGTACGCACAAAGGAGCCGAGCTCCTTGAAAAGGTACACGCCCTACCCCAGGAAGAATGCGATTTTCCCCTGTCCATTTCAGTCAATATGCATATGGCATCTCTCCACGTCCAGCGAAAGGAAGTTGAATGCGCTTATCGTGTTGTTTCGGATTGCATTAATGCCCTCTCGGGTTTCACCAACACTAGCACTGTGGATTCTTTGGACCCTTTCATCGAGCCTATAAAGGAAATTGTCAAACAAGCGAGGGATATGAATATTTCTTCCCCAAAAAAATCAGGTTCTCGCTCTGCTACCAGCACTACACGCTCGCGCAGTGCTAGAAAACTACGCCAGGCCAAATCGGTCGCTCGGTCGAACACCCCTATTCCTGATGAATCAGAAAGTGCGCAAAATCAAACGCTTGCTACACGACTTCGCAGCAGTCTCATCCGAAAGCAAGCCATGCTTTTGCTTGCATCACAACAATTTGACCAAGCCGCCGGTTTACTTGATCAAGCGGATAAGATCCTCGAAGCAGAAACGGCAATATCCAGTAATAAGCTTTGTCGAGTGCATTATATGCTAGGGCTAGCGGTGCAGCAGCTCTCTGCACATTCCGTTTACTGTGTTCTCCCAGAGTCAACTATTTCACTTCCATCTTTAGATTCGGGAGGCCAGGGTTTAAAAGGGAGCTCGCGATCAAAATCACGGCCTGGAAAAACGGCGAAAACTGCCATACATTCTGAAATTAACTTTTCAGAAACGCTATCCACCGCAAGCAAAGTCCTTGCAGATATCTCTTTGCCAATATCCCGACATGGGTCTAGTAAGGAGGGTCATGAAGCCTCATATCTTCGAAGCCGAACGTCTATGCTAGCTTTTGCAACATCAACAACGAGAAGCTGTGACGCAGATCCATGTCTCATTGCTCATTCCATCGGTAAGTTGTCCTACACGCAACTCTAAGCCCCTTTTTACTTATTAACGTGATTCTAGAGCTGGGTCGCAATTCCGCATTCGCACGCGACCATTTGTCAATTGTCTCGGATATAGAACTATCGAATCAAATGGGTCGTTTGGATTGGCCCGCCCTCCCATCCGCCAATTTGGATGTAGCGCTTTCGGAGGAGGCTTGTTTCATGGAAAACTACGTCGAGATCCTCCCTCCTGAATGGGACGTCATATCAATAACCCTTTGCCCGAGTCAAAATGAGTTTATCATATCCAAACTGCGCCAGGGCCAATGTCCGTTGATATTGCGTCTACCGCTCAAAAGAGGCGGCGATGATGACATGGACGAGGATACATTTAGCTTTCAGGAGAGCAAAGCGGAACTTCTAGAAATCATTCGTCTTGCCAATGCCAGTGCTCATAATACCGGCACATCTCTTGGTAAGAGAGAAAAGAAAGCATGGTGGGAAACCCGGGAAAATCTCGACAAACAGCTTCAAGATCTTCTACAAAATATCGAGACAGTATGGTTTGGGGGATTCCGTGGCATATTTTCTCAAGCCCCTAGGAATGATCCGCTCTTACGGAAATTTACCGCTTCCTTCAAAAAAATCCTTGACAAGCACCTTCCGTCAAGAAAGGAGAAACGAGGAAAGGCCAAGGCTACATATCCAGCTTTTGATCCTTGGGTGATGGAACTTTTTGTCAATATCGGCAGACTTGACGACGAGATGAATCCAGAAGATGCTGTTATGGATCTGTTATATTATGTCGTTGATATCCTTCAGTTTCACGGTGAGACAAACGCATACGAAGAAATAGATTTCGATATGATGGTAGTGGAAACATTAAATTTGCTACATCGTTATGCGGACGAATGCAAGTGGGAGCAAGCGCCAACACCCCCTCGACACACCATATTGGTTCTGGATAAGTCACTCCATGCATTTCCCTGGGAGTCTATGGAGTGCCTGAGAAATTGTTCAGTCTCACGCATGCCCTCACTTGACAGCGTCAGAGACCAGATATTACGGCTGACATCCCAGGAGAGACATGAAGGTGGTCAATTCGGATTCTATGCTAATCGAAATAGCGGCACTTATTTACTGAATCCAGCTGGTGATCTCAAATCTACGGAGGATCTTTTCAAGGAGCCACTTTCCGCATTGAAAGGTTGGTCCGGCCGAGTAAAGACGGCACCAACGGAAGAAGAATTTGAGTCATCGTTGCGAACTAAAGACATCCTGTTATACTTTGGACATGGCAGTGGAGCTCAGTATATCCGAGGTCGAACTATTCGAAGGCTGGATAAGTGCGCTGTGACCTTCCTTATGGGGTGCAGCAGCGGTGCGATGACTGAGGCTGGTGAATTTGAATCATATGGGACCCCGTGGAACTATATGCATGCTGGGACACCAGCTCTGGTAGCAACTCTCTGGGATGTCACTGATAAGGATATTGACAGGTTCACTGCCTCTGTGTTTGAACAATGGGGACTTTTACCAGCCCCGGCCACGACTGCGAAAGGGTCCGTTGCATCAGCTTCAGGTATCAAATACACAGGCCAAGTCGGCCTAGACACGGCCATAGCTGGCTCCCGGGATACTTGTATTCTCAAATACTTGAATGGAGCAGCACCGGTTGTATATGGAGTTCCTGTCTTTTTGAAATAAGCGACGGGTTTCTGTTGTCTGTCTTTTCTTTCTTTCTTTTTTTTTTTTTTTTTTTTTTTTTTTTTTAGCTACTTTTATGATAATGTGCTTACCCTTTTAGAATATACCCTTGGTTTTGGCATACTATACGCTAGAGGAGCTTTGGACTTGAGAAATTGGAAGGCTAGTCGCTGCTGTATATATATAGAAGCTCTATGGTGTAGTTTATTTTATATAACTCAGTCTCCCTTTTATTGGTTTAAAGATAGCAACACTTTGTGGTGCGGGGAGGATCGGATAAGCCCCGCGCCGATATCCAAGTTACCAGCCAAGCTTATATCAACCTTCGAACTACAAACATCAAATACAGACAGCACTTTCGACCACACGCAAGACGAGCGGCAGGATTGATAATTGATAGGATTGATCTCTTGACAGCATGGCCGTCACAACCAAAGCCACTATCTCCTCCTTTGGAGGGAAGCTACTGAAGCTCTCCCACAATGCTACATCTACGAAGTGTGAGATGGCGTTCAACTTATACCTCCCGCCACAATCGGTTTCAGACTCCGGATACAAGGCCCCCGTTCTATTCTTCCTATCGGGCTTGACTTGCACTCCGGACAACTGCTCAGAAAAAGGATTCCTTCAACACGCAGCCAGTCTAAAAGGGATTGCTATTGTATATCCAGATACCAGCCCACGTACGACTTGGAATATCATGAATACGTAATCAGTAGTTAGCTAACCATGGCTAGAACAGGTGGTCTAAATATTGCCGGTGAAGATGATGCATACGACTTTGGGACCGGGGCTGGATTCTACGTCGATGCTACCAAAGCTCCGTATGATCATGGATATAACATGTATACCTATGTTACGGAGGAGCTTCCCAAAGTTATCTTCTCCGAGTTTCCGCAGTTGGACTCCAATCGAGTTAGCATTACCGGCCACAGTATGGGCGGGCATGGTGCCTTGACCCTTGTAAGAATTCTATGTCCCAGCATTCTCGTAACTCACCCGTTAACAAAAGACCCAGCTGACCTGATTATTAGTTCTTGAAAAATCCTGGGAAGTATAAATCGGTCTCAGCTTTTGCACCAATCGCAAATCCCGTCAACTGTCCTTGGGGCCAAAAAGCCTTTGAGGGCTACTTTGGCAATGACAAGGACAAGTGGAATGAGCACGATGCCACGGAGCTAGTCAAAAAGTGGAAGGGCCCTCTTCGGATGTTGATTGACGTGGTATGTCGTCCGTCTGTCACCATTAACATCACCTTATGTCGCATCTTGGATGAGTTCAACACAACACATGATAATATAGGAACAGCACTAATCTCTTACGACCTTAGGGTACTGGCGACAATTTTTATAAACAAAAGCAACTATTGCCAGAGAATTTTCTTGCAGCTGCAAAGGAAGCTGGCGTGGATTCTGAGATATATATGCGATTCCAACCTGATTATGATCATAGTTACTTCACCATAGCTACATTTGCTGATGACCATGTGAATTTCGCCGCTCAGTACCTATTGGCTTGAAGCCTAGTTTGCGCTTATTATGCAGTTATTAGAGCTGTGTATTATCGGGCGGCATGGTCAGGCTATTTATGGGCTTTCTTCTTAGATGGCTTGTGGAAATAATTACATATTACACTCCCTGGAATTTCATTATATTGGCACGACAACTAAGATTTAGTTTTAAAATTTCCTTTCAATTGACCTGATAGTTATGCTACCCGCATATGTTATTCATTTGCATAGCCAACATATCCATGTGTTCTCCATCCCACAGCCTTCAATCGTACCTTGAATAAAACGAAGAAAATCCAGCGGGAGAAGACTCTTGAAGTAAGTCGAGTCGGTAACATAAGAGAGAACTGACGATCAGCGAAACATCAAAATGACTTGAAGTGAGATCAAACAAAGCAAATATGCCTCGGAAATTGTTTGTTCGATAAAACGATGTCATGGGGGTTTCCGAAATCGGACAGAGGGATAACTGGTGAAACGTTATGGTGGCAAGAATATGACAGGATATATGGAGGTTAGCAAGGTGAATGTAGTTGCAATAGCGTAGATTGATCCAGGACACTTGATATGCTAATTTTCTCAGCGAAGAGTAAATGTAACTTTTTCTTATTTTTGATGGTAGGGGTGGTTTTCAGCAACATTTGTTCGATCAGATGCGGTAGATGAGAGGATGAATGGAACAGCTGGAGGAAATCGCTAGTATCATGTGCTTAACCGTTGTATAAATGCCTGTTGCTTTTTGTTTAGTCTCAGTTGCGGGAGATTTTGGGAGGAAGGGTATCTTACCTGGAAAAACTGTCGAAAAGCCTTTACGTCTAGCTGTTCTAAAGATGATACATATTCATTGATAAGGTCTTCACCCATCCCCATTCCTGGCAACTCGGAAGTTCGGAGCCATTGGAGATACTCAGGTCCAGTTTTTGAGTAGATTACCTTTTGCATCGCTGCTGCTTCGCCAAGAACTTGCTTTGCCTGAGCATCCTTGGAATTAAATGATGAATTCATTGGCAGGGCCCAACAGAGCGGAGAAAAGCGGGTTATCATGAACTGAGCGAACCCAGGTAAGGCGGTCTCTTGTTGGGTGGTGTTGGTGCCATTTACCGGAGCCACGATATCTGGGCCTCCCCAAAGGCTCGACATCCGAGCCAGTACAAGGAACGCCATTTTGGCTGTTGGGAAATCATCCGCATCCTTGGCAAAGTGCTCAATAGTTGATATGACGGTCTCAAAGATAGATTGGTTTGCTATGGGAATGTTAGTTAAGAAGACGCAGAGGGAATTCTAGAGTGAGGGTGAGGCTTACAGCTGCTGATAATAACAGAGCCAAGGTCATTGTTGAGTATCATAAGCAAAAAGTTGAGGTACTCGCGTTTCAATTCAGCTAGCTGAATCTCGTCGTCCGTACCGGATATCGGCTCAGCAATACCAGAGAATACTCGCTGAAGGAAAGGTGTCCACAGAGTATCGAGAATGGAGTATATTTCGGACTTGAAGCCGAAGATAACTTGATCCAAGAGCCGAAGGAATAGTGCCATCTCATCCTTTGAGGAGGTAGGGGTAAGCAGGCCATCGATCCATCGAGGTAATTGTGGTAGATTTCTCGACCCTCTAACACCGATTAACCTGGAGAATGCAAATCGAGCGGCAGTTCTAATGGTGAAGGAATTTTTTAAAGACTCGAGAGCAACTAGAGTTGCCTCCGAAACTTGCCCAAATGTTTCTGATACCTCCGGAGGAGGTGGTGTTTGGGGGGAAGTTGATCCTGGCACCCAGTCAGAATAGCCCTTGGCAAGAGTACCAAGAGCCATGATATCATGGTGAATCTGCAGAATGGCACGCTCATCGTTCGCTTGAGCCGCTGGTAGATTCTTTTCCATGTCCATGAAGATGGGGTTCATGATGGACTGCGCAAAGTACACCTGCTTCTCAACCGACGAAGCTGTGGAACAGATGGTTCCAATGGCCTCGAAAAGGTAAAGTTGACTAGTAAAAACCGTGTCTCGAGATCCACCAATATCCTCAGAAGATAGGTCGTCACCGTCTGAGTTGTCACCAGGTACCTCAGCGTTGATCGTGAGGAGATCACTAAGAGCTTCGACAACTGTTTGCGCAACATTTCCCACAAAAGCGCGAAGGTGCTTTACAAGACGGTGGAATAGATACCACGACCTGGTCCTAACCTTGAGCATCTGATGATGGGCAAGGCTGAGGAATCCTTCTAAAACGCCTAGAAGAAGGTGGGAATGATGCTCAAAAAACGTACTATACCGCACGCATATTTCCATGTATTGCAGCTGTGTAGCCGGGTGGTTGAACGAGCGAACGTCTAGGGGTTATTGTCAGTAAAAATCCCGAAAAATGGGACCTGTGAATATGCGACAAACACTTACCGGACTCAACCATGACCAACATCATTTCTATGAGGCGCTCTGCGGCAGGATTATTGGGCTTATGCTTATTGTACAGTCCTCCAGCCTTCATTGCCAGGTCTCCAAAAAGGAACATCTCGTGTAGGGCTAGATCAAGATCGCGCCAGTCCAGCTGTGCTCCCGGCTGTCTTAAACTAGAGAACGTGGAACGAACAACGTCCGTAACAGCTTCTATAAAGAGTTGCTCGTTGGTTGATGCAATTATCTGCTGTAGAACGTTGAGTCTCCGTCGCAGTTCCTGAAATTCTGCTTCATCTGTCTGATCATCCTCGCTTCCCCAGCTCGACGTCTCGTCGTATCTCATTTTTTGAATGATGGCCTTGAGAATTGGCAGCAACATGTGATTCTGCTGAGATGCCAATTCAGGGTTCTTCTTTGCAACCTTTCGGAAGTAAGTAAGCATATCATTTACACAAGGGACAATTGTCGAGCATATCTCGTCATATTCATCGGAGAAGTAACGCAACACATGGGGTAGGAAGGCCTGTAGCAAGGCTTCAGCTTTTTCCTTAGTGGCAGCATCGACACTCTCGGATTCAAGTGCCTTGACGATGTCCAATGCTGTGATGTTTACAAGCTTGGCAACGGTCTCAGCTAGATCGGTGTCATATTTTGAGGTGAATCGGTATTCGTGCAGAGGCGGGCTGGTGGAGAGCTGAGAGACGATGCTCTCGAGGTTCAAGAAGACGATCATGTCCACCTTATCAGAGGGCTTCATCTTCTTTCCAATGATCTCCGTAAAGACATCAATGGCTGCATCCCGGACCCTTTCCCCTCCATTACACAGGCTCACATCCTTGGCCTTTGCGAGCTGATGGAATAGGAGGTCGAGCATTCCCTGGTTGACAACTAGAGAAATATTGATCCAACTGACCCAGCTGCCGATTGCCTTGAGCACCATGGCCGTAATGACATTGTCTTGCTCCTGCCACTGCGTAAGGATCTCCTGCCACGAGCTGACTAGTTTCTGCACGTCTCTCTCCCGAATGAGATCTTTCAGCGTGTTTGCTCTGTCCTGCTCGGCCCGCGAACGCGAGAGCAGGACGTCACCGATCTCGTCGTGTATGGAATTGATAACACGGAGAAAGAAGATGGTGCCCAAAACATTGTCTCGGACTTGGTTCTCAGGCGATTTATAGGTCAGGCGCAGGATATCGTCGAAGAAAGTGTCCCATCCGTTAGCATAGAGAGCAGAAAAGAGATAGGTAATCGTCTGGGCTATCTTGTTCTGTATATTCGCCTGGTCTGGCTCGCTCGTGGCCCCGGCTCCGTACATCTCCTGCAAGTAGGACATGAGGCTATCCTTGATGAACCCGAGCCCTTGCAAATCCACCTGGCCAGACTGCGTGGCGCTGTTGACAATCTCCAGGGCCACATGCCGTACTATCTCCGAGTGACGGGGGAACTTTGTGAAGATTGAGAGACACGGCTGCCATCCCGACGGGTCTGAGCGAAGCTGGCTGATGTATTCGAAGGCCTGCGCCTTGAGCGCCTGGTCTGAAGCTGGGTTGCCGGCGATTTCTATAGCATTCGCGACCTAGGTGACGCTGCCGTCAGTACCTTGCGCAGTAACCAGAGAGACGCCGCCGCCGCTGCCGCCGCCAGTAGATGAGCACCTGGCTCCAGCAGCAAGGGACAAGCAAACGAGGACGGACAACTTACCTGCTCCTCCATGATGACTGCTCCCAGCGAGGCCCGCGGGCTCTCTCTCTCTCTCTCTCTCGTGCTCCTTTTCCGCTGACGGTCAAGTGTCCCTCCGTCCGGCTCGCTTCCCACGTAGCAGGTAATTTAACCCAGTCACCCAACTGTGCAGAGCTGTGAAGGTCGCGAGAGGGTCCGGCTGTTCATCTCATAGATATCTGTCTGCAATACGCTTATCCAGCTCCGTCTCGTCAGCTTACTCTTTCGCAGGGGAGTTCGGGCGGGCGTAAAAAAAAAAAAAGAAGATAATAATATCGGTCGTGGGTGAGTTTTTGGGTGAAGTTTTTGGTGCCGCTGCGGGACCCAAGAAAGAATCTCCAGCTCACCAACACCGACTAGCAAAGTAACTATGACACAACACTCTCACACGCACAAAACAGCCAGAGGGAAAACGCCGTCTTGGGGTGGGGACGGGGAGAAAAAGAAAACACCGGCGGGAGGGCCTAAGACGAAGCTGTTGGTCGGGAGGAGACTCATATATAAGGGTAATAAGTGGGTGTTTGGGCGGTTATTATTCTGTTACGGGGCATATACAAGGGGATGCTCTACATGGAAGACCGATTGATATTGGCCGTTTAACAGCGATACACACGGATTAACCGCTGGGTAATGACACTGATAGATGGCCAGATAAGTACATAGCAGGAGTTACTTCTTAGTTTCCGCCTGGAGGATCTGCTTCTCCATCATCTCAAAGCCCCTGACGGCGTGGCCATACTTCTCAAAGACGCCCGGCGGGTAGCCATCAGCTATCCGCTCGACAAACTCGTCTTCCCTCCATCTCTGCCCGACCAGGTCCTCAAAGGTCTGCTGCGGTGCTCGTTCCAGCGCCCAGACGGCCTTGTATGCTGCTCCCAGCGCACACGCATTCTCGCCCACGTCCAGCTTATACACCCCTTCGATGCCGCCGAGCACTTCCCCGGCTACTTTGGCGATGGCGGCATTGCGAGAGCCGCCGCCAACAAGGTAGATTCGTCGTGGCTGCGGCGGGATGTCCTTGTTGTCTGATGGGCTGTGGACGAGCTCCCTTGACCGCAGCCTGAGGGAGAGGAACTGGCTCTCGACGATGGCCCTGGCGCCGTCAAATGGATGGTTCCAGCCTGTGTCTGTCTCCCTGAGCTGCTGGTCTACGTCTGTCTTGCCAGGGGTATAGTTGAAGTGCCATTCTCCTTCTCGAAGATTGGGCACAATCTCTGGCCGTGGGAAGAAGAGGCCCATCTTCATCGGGTCGGAGTCTGCCTTCTGGCCGGTTGGAGGAGTATCCAGCAGTATTCTGTCAAAGTTGTTCCAGGGGTTCGAGACATCTGTGTCTTTGGTTCCGTCTGATAATTTTGCGTTGATGGCGTCTCTCACCCGCTCACGAGCAAGGCCCCCGTTCTTGTAGCAGAGCATAAACATGTACAATCCAGGAGTAGTTGGATGGTTGAAGAAGTGCGTTGACGGATCAGGTTTGTACTGCGGAGTTGACATGAGAAAGGTCGTCGATGTCCCCAGTGATACCATGGCGTCCAACGGTCTCAGTGGCAGGGCAAGTATAGTAGCCGGGTTATCTCCCGTCAACGGGGTAATGACACAGTCTGGATGGAAGCCGTGTCTCTTGACAAAGTAGCTGCTGATTTTACCCAGCTCCTCGCCTCCATCGTGCGGTACGTCTCCGAGCTTCCTCTTCAGCTGCTCTGGCCCGGCGTCACCAGCACAGAACCTGAGCAGACTCTCGTTCCATCGGTTTGAGGGTATGTCCCATAGATTCATGCCACAGACGTCTGAGATATCGAACGGCGCCACTCTTCCCAGGAAGACTGAAGCCAAAAAGGACGAAACCAGAGATATCCTGGCCGTCTTCCGATATGCATCAGGATGCTTCCTCTGAAACCTCAATATCTGAGGGCCAGTAAATCTCTAAGCAGACAATAACACATTAGCAACTTGATAGACCAGTCCAATGCATCTGGAGAAGGCAAAGAAGACATACATGATGAGCCTTGCTCCCCGTAACCTTCGCCAGTTCTTCTTCGCTCCCTAGAAAGGCATCAAACTCGTCGCACTCCCGCTGCGTGCTGGCGTCCTGCCAGTTGGGACTGTACGGATGAGACAGAGCAGCTTGTAACTGGTCCTCCAGCGTCTTCTCTTCGTCCAGGCTGCCCAGTATCTGCTCGACAGACTCGTTCCAGTAGACGCTTCCATGCTGCTGTCCGGCGCCGCTGATGCCCTTCACTCTGCCAAAGTCGAGCCCTTGCTGCTTGAGATCGAGTAGCACGGCGTCCAGCGCCTGCAGCCACATGGCAACGGGGGCAAAGACTTCGTTCTCGGCTTCATTTGTCTGGACGCCCTTGGTGACGGCGAAGCCTCTCGAGTCGCTGTCGAAGTCGAATTTGGCGACGTAGGCGACCTTGAGATCGGACGAGACGACGAGGCCCTTGAGCTGCTGCGTTGACAGGTCGAAGCCGATGTACAGCGGTCCGTCGTTGGATCCCATCGTCACTTGTTATTTCTATAGCAATTGGACTTTGAATATGTGATTTCTATAGCAATTGGACTGTTTGAATAGTGCAGTCGTAGTGGACTGACTGCTGGTAGATGTATAGTTGGTACATGTTTGCTGCGTGGAGGGCGGGATGATATCATAGCGACAGGGAGCAGGCGGGAAGCTCTAATGCTATTGAATCATAGTCCAGATGCCAGTAATTGATATATATATATATTTCATCATTCTACTATTCAACACGTACTCATCTATCTTTCTACAAGACAATCAAGCATGAAACAGGTCCTGTCCTTGCTGGGGCTGCTGGGCAGCTGTAAATAGACGGCTGCTTCGGCTGGGCTATGAAGTAGATAGTTGCTGGTAGATGTATATATATATATATATATACATCGGCCCATGTCAGCGGCCGTAATAAGACGGAGCGAGGAGACGCTGCCGCCGTGTAATGCCACCGCTGCTGCTGGGCTGTCTGAGGAATGGAGCTTCCCCCCTATCGCTTCCGGCGAAGTCAAGCTAAGGTGATGTGGACGCTGGCGGTGTTTGATGGTGATTTACTGACGTGAAGGATAGGCCAGATCCCAAGTCTAATGCCGTCTCCGAGTGCCATTAACTTGTGGCTCTGACTGTGAGTCTGACTGTGACTGTGACCCCGACGCTATGGTGCCGTTTCCATTGGACTCGGGCTCGGGCTCAGGGCTGCTACGGGGACTGAGATCCGGGGCAATGAACTCCTCCGCAAAGTCAAGCTCCTTCTCTGTATCGAGCGTGAAGCGAACCCGCAGCCGCTTAACGCCTCTCACGCGAGCTCCTACCCGTTCCCGGATTGCCCGCTCAACCTCACGGGTCCGAGCAACCGACCACGAGCCGGGAACAGCGAGGTCAACCTCCATCAGGTAGTTGGGCCCAGACTTGACGCCCTGGATGTTGCGCAGCTCGACCTCGGCGCCATCTGGGAGAGCAGCGATGGCTCGGGCAGCGTACTTGCGGACGGAGTCGACCATGATCTCCTCGACGCCAGCGTCTGCGAGTTCTAGTAGAGTGGCCTTGGTGTTTCCGAGCCCTGCCTTGATGATCATGATGGAGATGAGGAGACCGCCCACCGGGTCCAGCCAGGTAGCGTCAGAGAAGACGTGGGCGCCGCCGATGGTCAACAGGGCGACGATGCTAGTGAGCGAGTCGACACGGTGATGGACGGCGTTGGATGCAAGGACGGAGGACTTTCTCTCCTTTGCAATTTTCATAGCTAGTCAATCTATATTAGTAGTTACATCTATGACCATATGTCAAGGGCTACCTGCTTACTGGCGTGATAGAGCCACTCCTTGACGACAATTGAGCCCGCAGCAAGCCAGGCAGCGTTGATATTGGGCCCGTAGGCCTGGTCGGTAGGGAAGTGGGAGTGCGAGTGGCCGTGGGAGTGGCCGTGGCCGAGCAGGCCCATATGAGCCGCAGCCTCTGCAACGTCCGGGAAGAACTGGGTGAGGATGACTTCGGCCGCATTGAGGCCCATCAGCAGGCCGCCGACGAGCAGCAGGCCGCTGACTCCCAGGGATCCCAGGGTCTCGATCTTGCCGTAGCCCAGCGGGAAGCGTGCTGACGGCGGCTTGTTCGACCAGGAGACGGTCCCCAGCGTCATAAAGTCCGACACCAGGTCTGCGAGGGCATGGTAGGCGTCTGCTATCAGAGCCTGCGAGTGGAAGACGTAGCCTCCGACGCCCTTGCCGACGGCCATGGCCAGGTTGGCGAGCAGGCCGATTCTGGTGATGCGGACGCCGGGATCCTGCTTGTTCTTCGAGGTCAGATATGTGGTATCGTGGTGATGGTGATGGTGATGGCCGTGGCCGTGGCTATGCCCGTGGGATCTGGTCTGGCTGCCCATCGTGAAGGGCGAATGCGAATGGACAAGAGCAAGAGCTGGTCGAGCTGGTCGAGCTGGCTGAGCTGTGATGATAGACAGAGCAGGGCTCGCGGGGGGGTAGGCGGGCGGTCGAGGTGGACTTGCAGCAACGACTACAACAACGGATGAAGACGGCGGCGGCGGCGGCGGCGGCGGCGAGGATGGCGAGGACAGCGAAGACTGACAGCGGACGAGACTGAGAGACGGCCTGAAGCCACGTAGCTGGATGTCGCTGTCGCGCGGTGGTTGTGGTTGCGGCGGCTGCGGGCGTACGAGGGCGCAGAGCAGGCGAGCTGAGCGAAATCTGGTCTTCCCGCAGCCGGCTGGCGTCCGGATCATGGCCTGGCGGGTCGCAGCGATGGGCGAGGAGGTGATATGTCTTATTCTTCTTCTTATTGCCTGGTAATCGCTTGATCTGCAGCTGGCGGGAGTCGGGCGTCTCTATCAACTGCTGCTGCTGCTGCTGCTGCTGCTGCTGCTGCTGCTGCTGCTGCTGCTGCTGAAGCTACGGGCAGCGGAATAAGCAACTTTTCAGTTATCGGAAGATTTCTTTTAACTAACCATTAGTTATTAATGGCTAAGAAGATCAACCTAGGCAGCGCAAGCTCCGGGACCAGACGAGGATGAGCGGAATACGAGCAGGCAGTCATATATAAGGGGAGAAAGCAGAGGAAGCAGAGCATGGGAGATGGAAGGCTCGGGGCAGCGATGGACGAGAGCAAGCTGGAGCGACTGCGGCCAGTCGGTAGGATCTCACACTACCTAATTACAACAAGAGAAGAGAAGACAGAGACTGACGGCGTGTAGGCTGCCTGGAGAAATACTCGACGGCTCGCAATCCGCCCCGGTTCTACACCAACGTCGCGGTGACGGCGAGCTATGTGCTGCCGGCGGGCTGCGCGCTGACGGTCAGGAACTGCGTCTACGGGGCCCTCGAGAAACTGATAGACGAGCATCCGGCGCTCTCAGCCATCCCGCTGGGCGAGGACTCGCTCGATCCGTACTTTGTGCGCCTGCCAGAGGTCGAGCTTGACCGGTGCGTCTCGTTCAGGGAGAGGAAAGCAGTGGCTGCCGGGGACGGGGAGAGGGATACGGAGCTGGACGGGCTGCTGAACGAACAGCACAATATATCCTTTGCAGCTCCCTTGCCGTACTGGAGACTGTGCATCCTGACCGAGCCGCAGGAAGGACGGCGGTTCACTGCTGCCTACGTCTGGCATCATGCCATTGGGGACGGGACGTCGGGGAAGGCCTTCCACAGGACACTCCTGGCAGCCCTGGGGAGTATCTGCTCCGGCCCCCTTCCTGCTGCATCGGCGGCTGTGAAGAGCGTGGTTGTGCCTCCCAGGACGCCGCTGCTGCCGTCTCTCGAGGAGGCCTGTCCGATGCCGCTGTCCTTCTTCTTCATCCTCTGGACCCTTTTCCGTGCAAAGGTGTGGAAGCCAGCGCGAGATCCGGGCCTCTGGACGGGATCCAAGACGTTCACTCCCTTGCACAACACCGTCCGCCATCTCGTCGTGTCCGAGCGGGAGACGGCGGCCTTTCGAGATGCGTGCCGGGAGAACAGGACGACCGTCACGGCTGGCTTGCAGGTGTTGCTCGCCCAGGCCCTGTTCAAACACCTTCCGGCGCAGTACACCAAGCTGGCCAGCGAGGGAGCCATCTCTGCCCGGCGCTGGCTGACGGACGGCCGCATCACAGACGACTCGATCGGCGTCTGGGTCCAGGTCTACCACGAGCACTACAGCAGGCACGACAACGATGCATTCTCCTGGGACGAAGCCAGGCGGGCCAAGCAGACGATTGACACAGCGCTGAGCCGCCGGGGGAGCAACAGCCCGGTTGGCATGCTCAAGTATGTGAAGGACTATGTCAAGGAGATCTTCCTGCCCAAGCTCGGCCAGGAGCGAGAGCTGAGCTTCGAAGTGTCCAACATCGGCGTCTTTACAGCAGATCCATCAGAGGAAGCAGACCCAGCAGAGGCAGATACAAGACCCCGGATCGAGAGGATGGTCTTTACGCAGAGCGTCAATGTCTTTGGATGCGCCATCTCGACCTCTGTCATCACCGGCGCCGACGGCTGTCTCGTCCTGGGCTTCTCCTGGCAACGGGGGGTCGTCGAGGACAGCCTGATGGACTCTTTTCTAGCCTCAGTCAAGCAGGCCTTTGCTCTTTAATGCCGTAGAATCAACATAGATCAACATAGATCAATATAGAATCATAGACGTAGACTTGTATATCTTTATATTAGGGGATATCCTGCATATACGAACTCAACCATCGCCAATTCTCTCACTATCAAAGTCACTAACAACACAACCACGCAAGGCAAAACAGATGAACCACCGGATGAGAATCCCCTTCACGGCCCCGTTTGCAGCTCCGACGATCCTGCCAGCCTCTGCCGCGACCGTCGCCGGCGCCATCGACGCCCTCGCCGGCTTCCTCGCCGCGCCCTCGCCGCCGCTGCTCAGAGGCATCGACCTCGGCCGCAACGAGCAGACAGTCCTCCTGACGGGCGCCGGCATCTCAGTCGCCTCGGGCCTCTCAGACTACCGCGGCGAGAAAGGCACATACCGTCGCAAGGCCGGCTACCGTCCCATCTTCTTCCACGAGTTCACCACCCAGCATGCGGCCCGGCAGCGCTACTGGGCGCGCAGCTTCATCGGATGGCCGACGATGGGCCGCTCGCAGCCCAACATCACCCACGACGCCATCGGCCAGCTGGGCGCAAAGGGCTTCATCAGCGCCGTCGTCACGCAGAATGTCGACTCGCTGCACCGCCGGGCGCATCCCAGGCTGCCCGTCGTCGAGCTGCACGGCGACCTGCGGTCCGTCGTCTGCGTCACTTGCGCCCACAGGATACCCCGAGACCAGTTCCAGGAGACGCTGGCCGCGCTCAACCCGGCCTGGGCTGACTTCTTCCGCCAGCTCGCGCGCTCGGGGGCGCTGGAGACGGACGACGTCGAGCAGCAGCGGCAGCGCGGCCTGAAGCTGAACCCGGACGGCGACGTCGACCTGCCCGGCGCCCACTACTCGGACTTTCGATACCCAGCCTGTCCCCGGTGTCTGGAGAGCCCGCTGCCGCTGCTGCGACGGCGACGACGACGGCCGGACGGGTCGGCGGCCATCGTAGAGGCAGACGCAGACGGGGCGCTGGCGCCAGCGTCCAACGCGGGCATCCTCAAGCCGGCCGTGGTCATGTTCGGCCAGTCCGTCGACGAGGCCGGCAAGCTGCTCGTCCTGGGGAGCAGCCTGGCGACCTTCTCTGCGTGGCGCCTGGTCGAGCGCGCCGTCAACAGAGGCATGGCCGTCGGCGTCCTCAACGTTGGCGGCTTCCGCAACGAAGACCTCCTCTTTGGCAGCGTCCAGCCTCGCGCCGGCGACCTCTCGAGGGTCAGATGCAGCCATCCGGCAGAGGAGGTCCTCCCTCACGTCGCCGCCAGGCTCTCAACGCTGTAGTTCTATCTCTTTTCATCGTCAATGGGCCTCCTCCTATAGATAGCTTACGATAAATATAGACATCACACCCTGCTACTATGTAAAGCTCGCAGTCTAAGATACAATCCTAAGCGCCCAAGTAGATCCTCTCCTGCACCTGAACAAGCCGCTGGCTCGCTCGTGGACTGGCGGCGCTTCGAGGTGGCTAAAAATATCCCATCCTCCCCCTTGTCGGGCGTTTCAAAACTTCCCGCAGTCACTAAACTAAATATTTAAACGGCGAACCCTCGAACCTGGCATGGCCGCGGACGACACCTCGAAGCCGGCCAATTCCCAGCGTCACGACCGCTCTGCAAGCGACAGCAGCATCTTGTACCTCAGCATCGCCTCGTCTCTCGTCTCTCCTGCGACTTTCTTCCGCCGCCGCCCGTTTCTCGATCTCCGTCAGGCAGCCTCTTCCTCCCGCCCCTCAGCAGCCCGCGCCGCCATGGACAAGCGGCACCAGCCCAGCTCATTCCAGCAGCTCGAGAAGGTGAGCAGGCACTAGAAACAGCTTGATAATAGAGTGACGATTGCTAACTGTTCGTCTAGCTCGGAGAAGGAACCTATGCTACAGTATGTTAGCCTTGGGCAATGCTCCATGATATCAAAACTAGACGACCCCGGCTGACCAGACCAGGTATTCAAAGGACGGAATAGACAGACAGGCGAGATGGTTGCGCTCAAGGAGATACACCTGGACTCGGAAGAAGGCACCCCTTCCACCGCCATCAGAGAGATCTCGCTCATGAAGGAGCTCAAGCACGAGAACATCGTCGGCCTGCACGACGTCATCCACACCGAGAACAAGCTGATGCTCGTCTTCGAGTACATGGACAAGGACCTGAAGAAGTACATGGACGTCCGGGGAGACCGCGGCCAGCTCGACTACGTTACCATCAAGTCCTTCATGCACCAGCTCATGCGCGGCATCGCCTTCTGCCACGACAACCGGGTCCTGCACCGAGACCTCAAGCCCCAGAACCTCCTGATCAACAACAAGGGACAGCTCAAGCTCGCTGATTTCGGTCTTGCGAGAGCCTTTGGCATCCCCGTCAACACCTTCTCCAACGAGGTCGTCACCCTCTGGTACAGGGCGCCGGACGTCCTCCTCGGCAGCAGGACATACAATACCAGCATCGACATCTGGTCCGCCGGCTGCATCATGGCCGAGATGTACACCGGCCGCCCTCTGTTCCCCGGCACCACCAACGAGGACCAGCTGCAGAAGATCTTCAGGCTGATGGGTACCCCGTCCGAACGGTCCTGGCCCGGCATCTCGCAGTTCCCCGAGTACAAGCCCAACTTCCACGTCTACGCAACGCAGGACTTGCGTCTGATTCTGCCTCAGATCGACCAGCTGGGCCTGGATCTGCTGAGCAGGATGCTCCAGCTACGGCCCGAGATGCGTATCAGTGCCGCAGAGGCCCTTCGACATCCTTGGTTCAACGACTTGAACCAGCTGCAGGCTCAGCAGGCTCAGCACCAGGCCCAGCAGCAGGCTCAGATGGCAGCCGGATACCCTGCCCCTGGCATCGTCTCTCAGAACTACTAACACAATACTTTCCCTCTACCCTCTTATCTTCACCCCCCTCCCCTCCCCCCCCTTGCAGCGCCGGCGTTCTTGATCTTGCTCTTTGGGATAAATAATTTGATTTTTCTATTCTTAATTCATGAGTTTATGTGCTTTTTGTTCACCATGACGTTGAATGTCTTTGAAAGTAAAGTCTCCTTCAAGCCCATTTTCGGGAGCCGTCTTTAACGAAATCGCCTATCTTCGGGTCATTGTCTCTTCTAGATAGCCAACAATGGACTAATACACCGAATTCTCCCCAATCAATTCTCTATTTGCCCCAATTTACACACTCCGGCCATCCCTCTCATCTTCTTTTCTTCCTTCTCGTCGGCAATCTATATATGCACGTGACTTCGCGTTCGAAATTGCCCAACTTTTTCGACTTCAAATCCAGCAACAACAACGACAACAACCAGATTATCAACTGCTACGACTGCAATTAACGGCGCAATGGCAGCGCCAACGTCCAATTCAGACCCTACAAGCACCGCCCAACAGATTGAACCCCAGGGACCGTCGCCCTCGCCGCCACCCGCCGCGCCCGTCCCGCTGACCCCTGGCCCACGCGCCTCGCGACTGCAACAGGTCTTCTCCCAGGCGCTGCTACACACCATCCGCACAAACTCCTATGCCAACTTCTCTGCTTGCTTTCCGACGCCAGCTAAGCATGTTCCGCGCAGTCTGGAGTCGGTGTGGAGACAGTTGAACGCGAAGCTGGAGGAGAGTGCGAGGGCAGAGTTTGATGACATCCTGCATGAGAGAAAAGTGGTTAGGGGATTGAACGAGCTGGACAGGCTTGTGGGAGAGGCCAAGTTGCGCAGAGAGAACGGCGAAGGGGCCAACAGCGTGCCGTATGTAGAACTATTGACCCCTCTTTTACCATTTGTCGGTACTGACTCCAGACAGGGCGCATACTTTGACGGCGAAAGAGCTCTACCAGGCGCATCTAGCACCGATTCTAGCAAAAGCGCAGTCGTCTCTGGAAACTCAGACGCAAGAAGTGCAGAAAAAGAATACTGAGCTTGCATCGAGGATCGAGTCTCAAAGACAAGAGATCCAGCAGCTTCTCGCTACTCTCGAGGCCGTCGTCGGAGATATACAAGGTGCAGTGAAGTCAATGGACGAGTTCGATGAAGACAACATCCTACGAAAAGAAGCAGAGCAAATGGACGAAGAGATACGGTCTTCGTAGCCTTCGTGAAATGTTCGTTTATATCCTGTTCCGCGGCTCTCCATGGATCGAATATTTTTACTTCCTCCTACCACCAAAAATATATATATATATATATACTGGCTGGATGCGGATTAAAATAATAGCTCGTTCGGATCCAACACTGCCATTAGCCTAGTCAGGTCCTCGGGCGGTATGTGGCCATCCTCGGCCATGTCGTTAGCTACTCGCATCATATACCCCTTGGAGTCTATGGCTAAACTCCTCATCTGGCTTGAGTCGCCAGCCAGCCCCTTTGCCAGAGCTTCTTTTACTGTGCCTTCGCGCTCTGCTTCAGGCCAGCCATCTCTTCTGGCGGTGGCTGCTCCCCCGCGATAATAAGTTTCAGCATTCTTGAGCAGCGTCGCCGCGTTATCCACGGCCGGTGCATAACAAAATGGAACCTGGCCTAGTCTCCACCGATGCATTTCCGCGTCACCCCGAGCAATATGTATCTTTGCCAGGTTATCTGGCCCAGCAAGCTTTGATGCAGCTGCTAGCCGACTCAAGGCGACCCCCAGGGCCTGCCATCGCAGATCTAAAGACCATGGAAACCTTTCGACGTCGATAGTAGGGTAGGCATCGGCAATGGCTGAGCTGAATCCTATCAGGGCTTCGGCCTGGTTGGAAAGGCCCGCAGGATCATGCGAGACATCCACATTGTTGCTCCATGCGGCATCAAGCTCTTGCTTGTATGTGTCTAGATCGATGCGGCCGCTTCGATAATTGATTTCAAGCAGGATGGAGAGGAACTTCGCCCTGACCATGGCTACTTCATTAGCCCTGTCTGTACCTTCGACGTATGCGGCAATCTTCTCTCGCAGGAGGTCGGACGAATACTCTTCTACCCAGACCAGGGTACTTCCGTGGTCAGACGACAGCAGTCCACACAGCGTTGCTAGTGCTTCCAGCTGCGCAATCGCAGTGTCAATAAGTGTATTCTTTGTTACGGGTTCAACCACAGCAGCCCACTCCTCTGCTTCCGTCGAGCCCGTCCTAGAATCACCTACGTCTCCCTGTGTCTGTTGTTGTTGCTGCTGCTGCTGCTCATCCTGCTTATTATGTTGAGTTTGATGATCCGGCCCGCTATTTTGCACCATCTGCAGCTGCTGTTCGAACTCTGTGAATCGCAACTCCTGTAAAACGAGACACCGCTGAAACAGCTCTAAAGCTTCAGTTAGACATTTCAACGCCTCTTCCGTCTGTTCTTCGTCTGCGTGTTTGCCTTCAGTGAGTGCTTCAGCTACACTGGTTAGTACCTGTGCAGTGTTAAACAGTATGTCTGCATTATCTTGATCCTTTTGTAGGGCTTCTCGGTGGGAGTCGAGTGCGATTCGAAGGATGTCAATAATCGGCCCGGGTAGCTGGGTGACCAGCTTAGGATGCTGGGTAATTTCATACTGCACTCGTGCTCTGCGTGTAGACAAGGACATTAATATCAGAATTGTTATTGGACACCATCAACGGTATATACATACTTGTTGTAGGCCAGGTCGAACGAAGCAGGGTACCGGCGTAACCCGGTTTCATACATCTCGATGGCCCTCATGAAGAAGCGCATCGACTTGACCGGGTCTCCGGCCCGCCATTTCTCTCCCGCTTCTTCGAGATCAACTCCCTCTGTTTCGGCAAATACAGCAGCAGTCAGCAAAAAATTCTGTCCTGTCACCCTCTCATCCGGCGCGAAACTATTGACGGGTGCCTGTAGATCTAGGCATATCCCTTACTCCTTACTGACCAGCGAGAAACTCATCTGCCGACTCTGGTGCCTGCAAGTCCGGTTGATCCGCGCGATCGCGAGCTATTAGCTTGGTGGCTTCCATGAGCTTTTGATAGCTTGCCTGCCTGCATGGCGGGCGGGGGGAGATTGCCTGCAACACACCACCTGTTTTCGTTTCTTCTTCGCCTTGGTCTCCTTCAGCAGCGTCTTCGGCTTCGGCATGTTTGTTCACATCCGGCTGTCGCGCTGTCTAATTCTGTCCTTGGGATGTGCGGTTTTGTCTGCCGTCTGGATGTTGAAACGTTTTTGACGTTGAGAGGCAGAAGAAGAAGATCGAGCTCGCTTAAACTACGTCACTTTTTCCCGAATAGGCAAAAACCAAACCTCCAACTCCCGCATATCAAAATCGCAAGAAATAAAAAATCACAAGAAAGAGAGTAAAGAGCACTAAGATGCAGCTGAAGAATTCGATATAACTTTATCATTGCAAGTCGTATGATTATTCCTATAAGGCGCTGGATAACCCAAGGATCCGCGCCATCGCGATGCTCGCTAGTTTCCGCTTGGCGATGCTAAGAGAGCGACAGACAGGCACAGAATCAGCTCCCTAACAGAAGGGCAGGAGATGGCATGCAGTGGTAGTGTTGGTATCGAGATGATGATAGACATATCGCTGACATGCAAAGCACAGGGAACTCTCTTTTCGAGCTACCGAATGCGTACGGCCGCATCAGCCGGAGTGCATTGCACTCGTATTGCCGGTTTCAGGTAGATTCGGGCCCGGGACAGAGATCATCGCACATCGAATCACAGATCACTTCTGCTCGCTGCTCTGGGGTAGAACATAAATCCTGCAACGCCATGTCACACTGGAGCAGTGCCTGGCCGTGATATCGATCTCTGCAGCAGCAGCATTGTCCAATCATGGCCGCGGGGTTACCAGCCTCAACGCCTTGAAGCACTCGTTTTGAGGCGTGTTTTACCTCCTTCTTCTCTGCCCTGAGGCGTTTGAAGCGGGGGGTGGATCGACAATCAGAATGCTTCAGGCGACAGAGACGGACTCCGTGGGACTGGTGTTCACCGCTGGGCTTTGAAGCTCTAAATGCGTTTGGTAGCAACGTCGTCTGACGTCGTTTCAACTGGCAAATGTTGCATGTCAATACGGAGTACGACAGGCAGAAGAATGTTGATAACTACAGCGGGCAGCAGAGCTCATGAAAGCCATCGTCGACTGTGGAAGGAAGACGAAAGGACAAGACGGCGCCTGCTTCGACCGCTGTGTAAGTATATAATGGATAGAAAGGAAAGGCCGTTGCATGGATCTGATTTTACTAATTTTTGATTGGCCAGAAGGCATGGCTTTTCTTTTACTGACCAATCAGAATTAGCTATTTAGTACAGGACCACACGAATAAAACCGGGATCGAATATCGAAATATCAAGCATCAGGCAAAGCAACCGACCAATATCGGGCTGGTGATCAATAATATCGAGCATCGAGAAGAGTACAAAGTGCGTTACAAGGTACCGAGCGAAGGGCCACCGTCATCGCCACCGCATGGCAACCCCCTTCGCTGGAGAAGCCTGCGACCCGCTCATCCCTTTCCCCTTTCTGGTCTTGTCCTCCGTTTGCACGGATATCGACCCGTATATAAGTATTATACTCTCATATTATTAGCTCGCAGCGCCCGCTCACAGACTTAAACAGACTAACAGCCATGCAGACGCTCCGCCCACCCAGCAGCAGCGCCAGCCTAAACTAAAAAAAGACCCAGTTATTCCTTTTTTCTCCCCTCCTCCTTCGCAAGGGCCGGCTTTTCCTCGTCCACGTTTCTGACAAGGGTCCGGCCTGGGCTGATGTGACGAACCAATCTGCGTGGGCGGCTGGCCGTGTTGGGTTTGGCGGAGGAAGCAAGGAGGACGGCCAGCGAGTGGCAGAGACGGCCAGAAAGAGTGAAAGAAACGCAGAGAAGACGGGCGCTGGCCGGGGAGGGGGGAAGGCAAAAGCGACGGCTTTGTTGCTTTGTTGGTGAGATATACGAGCGGACGGCGTATGGAACCTCTTCGTCTCTTTTTCCCTCCTGACTCCATAAGTGTTATTACAGCCCTCGATTCCCACGCGGTCGAACTAACTACGTGAGACTAACGAGCTAGTCAGTGTGAGTCAGTCGAACTAAGTAAAAGTCACAGTTTTTCTTCAAGGCTGCTGAAGGAAGAAACTGTCTTGCATCGATCAGCTGTTTTTGGAGTCTTTCTCTTCTGTGCTGCTGCTGCTGCTGCTGGTGTGACGCTCGCCTTGTCCATCACCAACCCCCCCCCCCCAGTCGGATGTAAGTCGCATATTTCTTCCCAGCAGGCCCCCCAGTTCATGCTTGTCTCTTGCCTGCAGACCACCTCCCTCCCCCTGGCCTGCAGTCCTGCGCGGCACTCGCTGTTGTTCGCTCCCTTTCCCCCCTCATCCTCACGGCTGCCCTGTCGGCTGGTCTTCTTTTCCCCTTTCGTTGCTTCTTCTGCTGCTGCCTGCGTGTTTGCCTCGATTCATCTCCAGGCACTGACATTACTATTTAAAACGAGCAGACCAGGTTTCACATCTCCCAAAAAAAAAGGGACCAAAAAGAAAATAAGATCCGCTCCGGAAAATACGCTGCTGCTACAGTTGCCCGCTGGATCTCGTTGTCTCGTCGCACGATCGACAGTTTCTCCTGCCGGCTCACAAATAATATCCCCCCCTTCATCCACTCTTATTTGGTACGGGGCACCTCGACGGACAGAAAAAGAAGCAGAAAAACAAACGAAACCGAGCCAGCAAAAGACAGCGAAGAAGCAGGCAAAGAAGGACAACGACGGCCCAGCTTCCCTGCCTTTTGTTCTCCAATTTTCGTAGCGTGGTTGTGGCTAGAAACATCATAAGATCAGGCACATCCCTCCTATTTTCATCGCTCCTGTACCTGCCTCTCCCTCTTCTTGTCTAAGATGATGTTGAGACGGTCTCTCGACTCCCAACGCCCCATCATGGCTCCCTCGGTAAGGTCCTTCTTTTTTTTTTTTTTTTTTTTTTTTTTGCCCTCTTTGCTTGCCCGTCGTGGTGTGGTCGATCCTGTCTAACGGCGGTTCTTGCTAGCTGGCCTCGCAGCGTAACTCGAAACGATACTCTACCATCAGCAACCAGACGACGAGCAGCACGATGACCGGTGACAGCCGCATGGCCGAGATCAAGGAGCTCAGCGCCGGCCTCGCACGTCTTGAGAACAAGCGGCTCAGCCAGCAGCGCTTCGTGCCCACCCCAGAAAAGTCAGAGAGCCTCAGCAAGCTGGCGTTGGGCGCAAAAGTTGAGCGAGCCCTCGGCAGGAGGATGTCGAGCCAGGACGCCGTCATGCGCAAACCCGTGGTTCTGGACGAGAAGAACATGATCAAGTCTGCCTCTTAGATCCTGGATGTCTTCCGCCCTTCAGCATAATACAACGATAACTACCTACATTCGCGTGCCGGCCTCAGCCTTACCCACTGATACCTCTTTTCTTGCTGCATTAATCTCATATTTCGCTATACCACAAAACCCACGGCTCCGAGCCTATCGACCGCTGCTACGCCTACCTACCGTACCGTACAGACTTATATTTTTCCCCTAATACTTCTTCTACCTGCGTGGTGCCATCCTTTCCTCCTGCTTATTTTTCTTACGAGACGACGATACAACGAGGCAGTCCATACGTCCGACAAACCTTCTTCTCTCTGCTGCTTTTTTCTCTGCTATGCTGTCTTGGTCCGGCTGTTCCTCATTTCTTGCCATCTGTCGAGTTCTATCCTTTTGTGTACGAGCAGTCTAATATCCATGTAGCTGTAGATGATGTCCACATACCATGAATGAAATGCCAGAGATACCTTTTCTACGCTCCTCCCCTTTGCTTCCTTTCTGTCTCTTCTTCCATCTCGCTGTCGCCTCTATCAAAAAAGTAGCCCAGCAGTAGGACAGAGGCTGTCACCGCAGCACAAGCGAGGCACAGGAACCGATACTTCTGCAGCCTCGACCGTACACTGCAGCCGACTATCGGCATCGCGATCTCTGTAACATAGTTCTATCAACCCATCTGTGTCTTCATCGACTTCTCCAGCTTCGTCGTTTTTTCTTCTATTTGATAATGACTTTTTAGCGCGGAGAGTCCAAAAAAGGCGAAAAAAAAAAAAAAAAAAAAAAAAAAAAAAAAAAAAAAAAAAAAAAAAAAAAGCGCCACGACCTTTTTTTTTTTTTTTTTTTTTTTCGCCTTTTTTCTGACTTGACAAAAAAAAAAAGTAACAACCACAAAAAAAGAACAACAACAACAACAACAACTTCACAGCATCAAAAGCTCACCTTTAGCTTCTCTTCTTCTCCCGTTCTCTTCTTCCTTTTCTCTTCTTCTTCTTTGCTTCTCTTCTTCGCTTCTTCCACTTACGGCCAGCCTGAAACCGCCGTCCTTTTTGCCCTCTTCACTCTTCTTGTCTTTGTTCCAGGCGGTTCTTCTTCCAGCTCGCAAAGCTCTTCCAGCTGTCTTCCTCTCATCCAGATACTCCTTCTAATTATCCTCCTCCTGCGGCTGCTGCCTCCTCGATAAGTGCGGTATCCAGCTCTGTCTCCAGCTTAGGATCTCTCTGGCTGCTTGTTTTTGGTCAGTTTGCTCTCTTTTCCTCTCTATCTCTGCTCTGCTGTTTGTCACAAGCGAAGACAGACACACACAGCAGATAGCAGCACATAGAAAGCACACAGACACCAGAAGAAGTAGAAGAAGAAGACTGACTGTTTGATAGAAGATATTCACGCTGCGAGCATCCGGACCCTGATATCTCTCCTGCATCCTCACGCCTCTCTGACTGCTCCGGACCGCCTACCGCGTTTGCCAGCCAACACCAACACTCACCAGCATGGCCACTGAGACCGTCCCTGCCGCCAACGGCACCTACCACAGCCACCACCACCAGGCCAACCCGTACCAGGTAGACCCCTATGCCGCCTCCCACCAGGCTGCAAACGCCTCCATCGCACAGTACGCGCCCCAGCAGCAGGCCGGCGCCTCCTCACAAGCTCCCGCCGCCTCCCACGACTCCAAGAATGATATCCCCAAGGACGAGGTCGGCTGGTTCTTCGTCGAGCAGTACTACACCACCCTGAGCCGCACGCCCGAAAAGCTGCATCTCTTCTACTCGCGCAAGTCTCAGTTTGTCTCGGGCGTCGAAGCGGAGAAGGTCAACGTTGCCATTGGCCAGCGAGTATGTCGTCCATCCTCTTTACCATAGATATCTATATATATATATATGAGAAAGATAATAGCTAACATCACATCATAGTCAATTAAAGAGTGCATCGAAGGCCTGGACTACAACAACTGCAAGGTCCGTGTCCTGAACGTGGACTCCCAGGCTTCCTTTGATAACATCCTTGTCGTTGTCATTGGTGAGATGTCCAACAACCAGGGACCTCCTCGCAAGTTCGTCCAGACCTTCGTTCTCGCCGAACAGCAAAACGGCTACTACGTCTTGAACGACATCATCCGCTACTTGAATGACGAGGATGAAGAACTAGCTCCCGAGGACGGCCCCGCCGCTGTCGAGGAGGCTCCAGCCATTGAAGAGCCTCAGGCTGCCGCTGTTGATACTGCTGCTGCCCCCGCTCCCGCTCCTGAGGCAGCCATCGATCGCCAGGCTGATACCGAAGCTGCTGCTCATGAGGTTGATGAGAAGCTCGAGAAGGAAGCCGTCAACGGTGAGGTCAAAGCTGACGCGGCCGAGGAGCAGAAGCCTGAGGCTGCTACCACCGAAGAAGCACCAAAGGAAGAGGCTGCTGAGGAACAGCCAGCTCCTGCTGCCGTTCTCCCCGTCTCTGCTGATGCCATTCAACCTGAGAAACCAAAGGGTCCAGACCCTTCCCCAGCAGACACCACTCCAAAGGCCCCTACTCCCGCTCCCGTTCCTGAGAAGAAACCTGTTGCTGCTGCGCCAGCTAAGCCCATGAGCTGGGCCTCCGTTGCCGGAAACCGTGCTGGCACCACTCCTACTCCCGCCGTTCCAGTTGTCCCAGCTGCTGCACCTGCTCCCGCTCCCGCTCCGGCCCCCTCTGCCCCTGCCACTGCATCGGCTCCGGCTCCGGCTGCTCCAACTGCGGCTCCAACTGCTGCCCCAACCAAGACCCAGCAATCTACTCCTACTGTCTCTGACGCTGGAAACGAGAACCAGCCTCCAGCTCAGTCCGAATGGCAAACCGCTGGTGCCGAACATGGCAGAAGACAGCCACGCCAGCACACTCCTTCTCAGACTGAAGGCGTCCTCGGTTACGTCAAGAACGTTAATGAGAAAGTCGACGCTAGTCTCCTCCGCCAGACTCTCTCCCGTTTCGGTAAACTGAAGTACTTTGATGTCAACCGTCAACGCGTATGTTCCATCACCCTACAATTTACTCTTTTGTTTCTCTTGCTAATTTATGTCCAGAACTGTGCCTTTGTCGAATTCAGCGACCCTGCTGCCTACAAGGCTGCCGTTGCCGCTAACCCTCACAACATTGGCACCGAACAGATCACTGTTGAAGAGCGCCGTCCTCGCGCCAACGCTTATGGCGGCAACGGCGGTTTCTCTGGGCGTGGCGGTGCTGGACGCGGCCGTGGTGACCGCGCCGGTGGACAGGGCCGTGGTGGTTTCCAGAAGGACGGTCGTTACAACAACCCTGCCCGTAACAGCCGCGGTGGCAGCGCCTCTGGAAGCGGCAATGTCACCCCCAAGGGCCGTGGTCAACCACAGGCAGTTTGAACTCCCCAATTCTCATACTAGCATGACCTGATGATACACCCTGACGCTAATGCTTATGCCGACACGTCAATAATCCCTTTCCCCCCAAAAAAAAAAAATCAACACCGCTTTACTTCACTACTTCATACTTCATGGGCTCCGTGTCATCTCACTGCCCTATCTGCCTTTTGTTCATCAAAAAAGGGCTCGATGGACACTACTTCTTCCTGGCTCCAGGGCCTTCTCTCACATCTTACAATTCCTGGTCTCTACACCTTCTCTCGTCTTCACCTTTGATGTACAATTTTTCTCATTACCCCTTCTGCTTGTTTGTTCTGCGCTTCCTTTCTTACCCGGTCATTTCTCTCTCCTGTCGGTTGGAAAAGCGTTTTTATCTGTTTTGTTCTCCCTTTTTTCTTGTCATTTGTATTAACTCATGCTTCATTTGCCATCATTGAGCCTGCAAGTTTCGTCTTTTTAGCATTACAATTCCCACCCCCTTGCCTCATACCCACCCCCGGTCTTCAAGATCACTATCTGCCCATGTCCATTTCCCCCCTTCACCTTCTATGCCATCCTAATATCCTCACCCATCATATCCCTTCCAGTCTTCATCCTGCATTTTCACTACTTTGATTCCAAGAGCGGTGCTTCATCTTCAACTACCTTCCCATTGCAAATGTCTTTTTCCACCCTTCTCCATCCACATTTTACCATTCAAACCGTATGCATTATCCTTTACTCCTTTCACTCTTCCCCTACTAGTCCCCTCCCTCTCGTGGCCGGGCGCGTACCTACCACATACGAAATTCCTCATCCGCTTCTTGTCTTTTTTCTACTTTTGTTTCTGCGTTCCCTGTTACAACATGCGTCTTTCCTATCAAGTACATATGATGGTTATGACTGACTGATAGATTGAAAGTTGGGAGCGAAGGGCAATGGCTTTTAGAAGTGGTTGATTGGGTATTTGCTTGGAGAACGTCAGTGCTCGATGCGATGATGGTTAGTGACTAGTTACCACGATGGATGACGACCCAGGACAGGAGACGTGAAACCCTAAAAAATTCGTTGAAGAGCATGATGATAGTTAATGTACATCAACTTTATTGACTATCTCTATTTCTGTTCGCCCCTTGTCTTTGCTTATACTCACTCCTCGAGCGTAAATGTGAACTCCTGAGGCATCCTTCCCCACCGCCCACGCTGTCAAATACAATCTACGATATTCAATGCACAAGTATGAAATATAAATCGCCTCTGTATTAATTTTTGTTTAGTCCTTGATACAAGTTTCTAAGAGTTCTGCCGTTAACAGCAAGCCACCTGGAACGGTAAAGCAGAGAAAATACGAGATGGCTGAAAAGCAACAGGATCAAGTACACAAATTAAAACCAAGACGACGGAGACAGAGAGAAAAGGAGGTGAAGAAGGGGAGACAAACACCCTAGACGACAATAGAGGTGGAAACTCGCTTTGCATGCTGCATTGTAAACCATGCCGTTGTGTTGTGGTCCTCTTATTCCCTTCGGTAGCGGTTGCTGCGAGGTAATTGCTGGGTTGGTGGTATCGAAATACATGGAGGTGAAAAGGAGAAACATAGGAAATTCATGACACCATTCCTTTTTCCATTAGATTTTTTTAGGGGTTTTGTATATTTTTTTTTTTATTTGCTTGCTTGAGGTATTGTTGCATGGCATTGGTATTTCGTTTTCATTTCAAGAGGGGGCTATGAGTTTAGTCGACTTCCTCCATGGCGCTGGCGGCAGCGGGCTCGGCGGCGGCGGTCTCCTCAGTAGCCTTCTCCTCTGGGGTCTCTTCCTCATCGACATCGAGGCCGAGAGAGACGAGCTTGTGAATGCGCTCGGCGAAGGCAGCTGGCTCCTCAATGGTGAATCCAGAGACGAGGAGAGAGGTCTCGTAGAGGAGCTGGGTGATGGACTTGACGTTGCGGTCGTTCTCACCATCAGCCTCAACCTTCTTCTTGAGCTCCTTGATGATGGGGGACTTGGGGGAGATCTCGAAGGTCTTCTTGGAGGCCATGTAGGAGCTCATGGAGGTGTCACGGAGAGCCTGAGCCTTCATGATACGCTCCATGTTGGCGGACCAACCGAACTGGCCGGTACGGATGGCGCAAGGAGCACCGACAAGCTTGTGAGAGACAACAACCTTCTCAACGGCATCACCGAGAACGTTCTTGAGGGACTTGGCGAGACCTTCGAATTCCTTCTCCTCGGCCTCACGGGCGGTCTTCTCCTCATCGGTCTCCTCAAGCTCAAAGTCCTTGGTGATGTCGACGAGCTTCTTGCCATCGAACTCCTTGAGCTGAGTCATGGCGTACTCATCAATTGGATCAACAAGGTAGAGAACCTCGAAGTCCTTCTCCTTGAGAGAGTCGAGGAAGGGTGACTTCTGGACAGCCTTGATGGACTCACCAGTGATGTAGTACATCTGCTTCTGGTGTGGCTGCATGCGGGTGACATAGTCTGTGAGGGAGGTGATCTCGTCGCCAGACTTGGTGGAGTTGAAGCGGAGGAGCTTAGCAAGGGCAGCACGGTTCTGAGAGTCCTCGTGGATACCGAGCTTGATGTTCTTGCTGAAAGCAGAGTAGAACTTGTCGAATTGCTCACGGTCCTCAGCAATCTCGTTGAAGAGCTCGAGGGTCTTCTTAACAATGTTCTTCTTGATGACCTTCATGATCTTATTCTGCTGAAGAGTCTCACGAGACAAGTTGAGAGGGAGATCCTCAGAGTCGACAACACCCTTGACGAAGCTGAGCCACTCCGGGATGAGGTCGGTGGCATCGTCAGTGATGAAGACACGGCGGACGTAGAGCTTAATGTTGTTCTTGGTCTTCTTGCTCTCGAAGAGATCGAATGGTGGGCGCTTTGGAACGAAGAGCACAGCACGGAACTCGAGCTGACCCTCGACAGAGAAATGCTTGACTGCGAGGTGGTCCTCCCAGTCGTTGGACAGGGTCTTGTAGAAGGAGGCATACTCCTCCTGGGTAATGTCAGCAGGGTTGCGAGTCCAGATGGGCTTAGTCTTGTTAAGCTCTTCTTCCTCAATTGAGGACTCCTTGACAGTCTTGGTCTTCTTCTTTTCCTTATCTTCCTCCTCGTCATCAACTTCCTCGACTTTTGGCTTCTTCTCATCACCCTCCTCAACTTCGGTGACCTCCTCGGCGTCCTCATCTGGGACCTCCTTCTCAGTCTCCTTCAAGACGTGGAGGTAGATGGGGTAAGAGATGAACTCAGAGTGCTTCTTGACAACCTCCTTGATCTTGCTCTCAGTGAGATAATCGGTCTGCTCATCCTTGAGGTGGAGGATAATCTTGGAACCACGGCCGAGGGGCTCACCCTCAGTGTCCTGGGTCAAGGTGAAGGTACCACCGGCAGAGGACTCCCAGATGTACTGCTCATCATCATTGTGCTTGGAGACAACGGTAACCTTGTCAGCAACAAGGTAAGCAGAGTAGAAACCGACACCGAACTGTCCAATCATGGAGATATCAGCACCGGCAGTGAGAGCCTCCATGAACTGCTTGGTACCAGAGCGAGCAATAGTACCGAGGTTGTTGACCAAATCCTAATCAAATTAAGTTAGCAAATTGGGGCAAAGAACGAAAAAAAAAAAAAAAAAAAAAAAAAAAAAAAAAAAAAAATCTTCCAAAGTTAGGGTCAAGCAATACTTACAGCTTTGGTGAAACCGATACCGGTATCACGGATAGTCAAGGTCTTGTTCTCCTTGTCTGGGATGATGTCGATGCGGAGGTCCTTGTTAGAGTCCAGCTTGCTGGGGTCGGAGAGAGACTCATAGCGAATCTTGTCGAGGGCATCAGAGGCGTTGGAGATGATTTCTCGCAGGAAAATCTCCTTGTTGGAGTAGACAGTGTTGATAATGAGGGAGAGCAGCTGGGAAATCTCAGCCTGGAACTCGAAAGTCTCAGACATGGCTGCGATGTGTTTCTGTGAAAATGACTGAAGAGGGTCTGTGTCCAAGGGCTATCAGCTGTGATGCTCGCGGCAAAGTGGGAGAGGGAGGCAGCAGCTCGACGAGCTCCGCAGACCTACTTACATAAAACGAGAGCTGTGAAGAATTGGAAGCTAGAAGGAGCTGTAGCTATTCAGTCGTCGACGGACTGCACGTAGAGAGGCGTGGGAGGAGCTGGAGAGGTTGAAGTGGGAGAAATTGAAGAAGTTGAGAAGTCGACGAAGCGAAGGTCCTTATAAAGCTCTGCACTTTTTCCCTTCTGGGGGGCAAAAGCTTGCTGGAAGAGTCCAAGCGAACCTTCCATACAGTTCTACGAGGTACGGCGGCGCTAGTCCCGATCGGGCAGTTTTGCACTTCACCGCAACTGATAAGTGACGATAAGCGCCGAGACGTAGAAGAAAGCAAAGAAAGTGAGCGAAGATGCTAGTATGAATAAGTAAATCAAAGTGAATAGATAACTAATCATTAGCGTCTAGCAAAAGTGAGGTGAAAGAGGACTCCAGAACGCCGACGTTGCTCCCATCCGGTCCGGTCTAGTGATGCACCGCGGAGCCATTTACACCAGAGAGACCCCAGGTCTGTGCCATCCATAACGCCAGTCCGCCCACTATGCCAACACCGCCCAGCACCTGAACCAACACCCATCCCCGTCGTGAGAGGTCGTCTCCAAGCTTCAGCAGGCCCAGGGGGTCGGCCGCGTTCACATTTCCCGCTGCAACTCGATACTCAAACCGGCGGCCGTCCTGCGTCTGCACGCAAAGGTTTCCTTTCTCATTTGCTCTGTCCACGGTGTTCCCGAAACCAGGGAAGCCTGGTGTCTGGGAGAGCGGCACCAGGGTTCCGTCAGCCACACATTCACCCAGCTTTTCGGTCAGCCATACAGCCCTTTCTCCACGACCTAGCTGCTCGTAACGGTTTCTTTCATTTTGTAGGCTTTGCTGCAGGTCAGCGGCCCATTTTGCCAGCCTCGCTTGAGCATACTGTTCTTCACGTCGAGTATGTTCTGTCATTCGCGCAAGCGTATATTCAGACAGTCCTAGCCTCTCGCCTGGCGGAGCAAGCACGTGTGAGGCAGATGCTGGTGTGGAAGGCAGATAAGGGGATAGATGTGAGTCAGGGAGAGACGAGACACCATAGTTGCTTGATGTTCGTAGAAAGTTGTTCGATGGCGCACGGGAGCGTGGTTGTTGCTGGACTTCTACCAGCTTCTTAGCAGCAGAGTGTCGGAACCACGCGGCGTTGTCTCTATCAAGGAGCCTTTCCAGAACAAACCCCAAGTCTGAAGGTACCAATGGCTGTACGTATTCGGGACTCATGAGGACACTCGCATCCATAGTCTCATCGTCATTAGTCGTTGCAGAAGATGCCATAAAGGGAATGCCCGGGCCCGACACATGGTCATTAGTCAAGGATTCTCCAAAAGGACCGAAGCAAGACAGTTTCATATCTGCATCTCGCACCCGCTCAATGAAAGATTTCTTTATTGCCTGAACTTCAGCAGGTGTATAGTTGTCACACTTGGCAATCAGTGGAACCACCGTTGTGAAGTTGGATAACTTTTGAATACTGCGAATATCAGCAGTCATAGTTTCTACCTACACATTAGCTCCTAAGTCACAGGAATAGCCGAACTCTCGGTTCAAACTCACTTTCGGATATCAGATAAAGGATGACGTCTACCTGGGGACCACCATTTCCGCAAAGCAACCCTTGGAAATCTGTAGTTACAGACCGTACAGCAGACACGGCCCGCGTGAATTGCTTGTTCATATATTGAATGATCACCTCTGTCTGTTGATCGGCATTCTTCGAACCAGCAAAAGTGTCGACGAAGCAGAGATTTCTCTCCAATATGACATCACCCAAACTCTTTCTTCGCCGGAGGACACGAGAATCATCCATATCTGACCACCAGGATGGGTACGGCTTTGTGCTAGCATATATTTCAGATATTGGTTCGCACTCTCTGATACGCCGAGGCTTCGTACTCCCCTTCCTGCGAGACTTTACCAAACTTGAAGGTGGAATAGACACCGAATCTGGCAACGGATCCATATGCACTATGTCTGCAGATAGTTGTCCAAAAGATTTCAATAACGAAGTCTTGCCACAGCCTGTTCAAAATCCATTAGCAATCAGACACAGAGTCTAAGTGAAGCGTGGGTGTACATAATTACCTGGTGCTCCAGCAAGGAGGATCTTTAGCCGTCCCATAGCTTTACCCCTGTCTGTAAAGGGGCGTCGACTAGGGATTTTGATACTAGGCATCACCAACTGAGAAGTACTGTCCTGTAACTCTGTTGGCTCCACCTGGGCCTCATTTATATCAGGCTCGCCATCGGTATAGCCGCTTCCTCCCACTGCAGGCATATCGTCAACATTCCTAAGTGACCGTGTTGAGGAGGATTTCGGGCTACTTGGCAGGGAATTTGGTTCGCCTGGGGAGCCGATAAATGAAGGAGTTCCAGAGAGAGTAATGCCGATATCTGACAATGGATAGTGATGGGGTTTTAATGAGTCTTCAGTCTTGTGTTCCTGTGTGTTGGGCATGGCAGCTCTGGATGTGGCTGATAATGGTGAACTACCAACATCACCTTCGGGGGTCGCGTGTACATCACTGTGGAAGGGAGGCAACGGCCCGCTGATCCCATCATCAATTGTATCTGCTAAGCTCTGCACTCCATAAGTGCTATCATTTGGGGTTCCTGGAGCACTGGAGTCAGATCCGTCCATTTCGTTACCCCGAGATAGAAAGAATGCTGGGGGAGAGGCGTTTCGAAGCTCGCTGGAGGGTGTTGCATTGATTATGTTCGGTGTGGCAGTTTTGCGGGGACGTCCTCGCGCTGAATTGGAGGAGGCTGCAGGGCGCATTTTGCTGATAAAACCTAACACTACCGAACGATACTTGCATAGTCAGAAACGTCCGTCTGAGTGCTACTTGAGAGATGGATAACAGTATCTTTACATCTGTATATCCGTTACCCCTCTTCGCAGTAAGATGTGACCACTATTCAGTTGAAGATGATATGACAATGATGATAGCCACAAGGTGAGCGACAACCCCGTGACATGGGGTTTGCTGATGCGTACCCACTAGTCCCTTTCAGGCTAGACTATTGGTTGACCCCACTTTTCAAAAGAAGGAAAATAAAGCTTGGCAAGTGTCGTTATTACATAATCTATCAAACTATCTTGGCCCAAATCTCAACCAACTGTTTCATCTCATCCCGAAAACGATGGAGCGAGTTATAGATTTCAGTAAAGGTCTATAGCTATAGAAACAGCTATTCTTTCAGATGTTTCAATCAAATGCCAGGGTTGTAACAAAAGATTCTTGGTTCTGGCTTTGTTTATTTGAAGGAGAGAAAAGGCTAGTCAAACAACTGATTAGCCGAGTGACCATGATTTTTCATCCTATATACATCTAAAGATGACTTACGCTCAAAATGCTGCCATTATACCCATATAGCTCTTGCTGCATGCATATTTATAAACACCATCGGTCAACGCAACGGTCGGAGCAGCACTCGGGGTCATCGAAGCAGAAACCTGTGTTAGATTAAAATAAGATTGTTAGTCTATCCACTCTCCAGGCCGCATTAACATGGTAAATAACTTACGATTCCTGGGAAGGCATTGCAGTGGCATTGCTGAGGTTACAGAAGCAAGCATAATGGCAGCTGTTGTTAACAAGAGTGAGAGCTTCATAACGGTGATGAGGGCTGATATAACACGTTGTTTCGAGAAGTTCACGGAGGAAGAGATATTTTTATAACTGTAGCTATGAATATAGGTGAAATATCAACGGGTATTTATACTGCCACGTCTTATCCATCATAAGTCTTTATGAGAACGACCTCCGAGGAGATCGATAGCCACCACAAAGCCTAGTTACACATACGTGCCACTTCTATGCAGGTATAATTGGTCTTTATATGCTAAGCGAATGACTTATTGCTCTATATATTTGCTCATTTGAGGAATGTCACGTTTCATTGTCCACCCTCTATATGTACCTAGAAATGAACGACATATAGAAAATGAATCAATGCGGCATATTTCTGGCTTACTCTCTTAGCTATGCCGGCCAAGAGTTACTACGACGTCCTTACTTATTTAAACTAATACCCGGCATCCCAGAAAATTGTGTACGTATATCTTATCCCCTGCCTCGAACTCTACGTGAGAAGATCACTTCAATTTAGCTACCTATTTGACCGAATAAATTCTTGTTATCTGTCAACCTATCTTTTAACTGTCAACTTCTAGTAGTTACTTCATAGGTCAAGTTGAGGCATACTACGAAAATGTGGGGAAGCCTCTAAAAGTCGCCTTCCATGATAGTCTTGTGATTGACAGACCTACTCGCAATGGGCCTAGAAACTTTTTTCTTCTTTTTTGAGAGGCATGAGGTTTACAATCCAGACCGTGCCATATTGCGCAATATATCTGTAGGTAGCCTTGAAGCTTAACTACCGTATTGCTGTATACTCTTCTCGAAAATCGAGATGTATTGTAGAAAGTATGGGTAACATCAGTTGAAAGCTACTGTCCATAAAGTTCAATTAGTAAACTAATCTATTATCATGGCAGCTATTGCCGTACTCAGGATTTACTTCTGTCAATCATACCTGGAAATAGGCAGGTTATCTGGATAACTTTATTAAGACCATTGGAAGGCAAATATAGGAATAGTTCTCACAAGGTATCATGTATTCGCATTAACAACAAGGGTTATCCAGCTATCCTTACGGGTTGTTAGCCAACAAGGTTATACAGATATTTCCAGATTATTACCCAAAGAATGGTGTAAGTCGTGATTTAGATGTTAGCAAATAATCCCTAGTGGCACTTCGAAGTACTCTGAATACTGAATACTTCCATAACCAAACTATGCATAACATTTTGGTATCCCGAGGTTGTATATAGTATCGTGTTGTTGGGTACGTACTGAGAGTGCCAGCAGAGTATAAACATCCAAAGCACGTATCGGCGTGCAAAACCTATAAAATCCGATAATGCCACTGTTCTAGCACTTGCTTGGATTGAACTGCCCCCGTTGGATATGATATGTGGCACTTACTCTGTACAAGGTCAAGTCCTGGCTATATCAACCGTCACATATAATTTTCTTGTGTATTAGACCCAGTCGAGAGTGGTTGAAGTAAGCTGGCATACGAACTGCCAGATATCAGCTGAGGTTATCCGGGTGGGTGCAGGGATATTGAGCCATTCAAAGGTCTGGCCAGACGGGACCAAATCTCCGGTAGAATTGAAATCTTCTTATGCGTGCCCACAGAGCGAGATGGCTATCCTCGTAGCTATCCGTAAAAATATTAGCGTATTTTTGGGATGGGCCTTGAAGGTTCCGTAAATAGTGGAGAGCTAGATACTTACATAGCGGATATTATAGAATTAGAAGAGGGAAGGGTACTGTGGATTTATTCTGTCCCTCAAAACGCCTAGAGAGCATTATAGAAATGACAATATGTAGCTTCGATTCTAACCCAAGTTCGACTTGTCAGGAAGAAAATCAATTTTATTTCCAATTCTTCTTTCTTGAGATAAATTATATAGAAAAGTAAAAATTAAAAATAGAATTACGAGCTACAGGTCTTGTCAAGCAGGCCGGGCAGATGTCAACCCAGCAAGCAAACTCTGAAAGTGGTTGAAAGGCCCACTAAAAATTGAGATATCACTTTAGTTCGCGGCACCAGTCCGAAAGCCACCAGAAGCAATAACGGATCCGATCCACTTCAGATTCCGAAGTTGTGTTTCCCCGCGGAATCAAATGGAATTTTCCGTGTTGATGGTAAGAAAACTCTGAGCTCTGCTTCTGGCTGCAGGTGCCTAAGTGCGCACAAAAGAAAGAGCAAGAGCTAAACTCTGTATGACTCTGCCTTCGCGCCCTCCATACTGTGGACACAAACGGGAAAAGAAATGCTCGTTCGATACCGGATGCCGGGCGTACGGAGCCCCGCAGATTAACGACCTCGTTAGTCAATACTAATATCGTTGCAATTTTGCTTCCTGAGTCTCTCCAATTCCATGAATGGGATGGGAACTTGTATGGAGTACAGGGAGCCTGCCTTGTTTGAAAGGAAAAAGCATTCCATGTGCTCATTAGTGTCGCAGAACAGTAATAATCCCTGACGCTGGCAAGCATCTTATTGCGCAGCGAGTGTCCTTATCTATCCCTTTTTCCTTTTTTCAAACTTCAGGTCACTTCCATTCCGCTGTTTAAAGTGCTAGCTAAGGACCCTTGATCATTTCGCTTTTTCAAAGCTGGGACATCCTTACAACTTCCGTGTGATTGGTAGATTGGAGCAATCATGGATAGGCCAAATTAAGGTTAAGAATATGATCTAAGAATGGTAGTTCAAAGCATATTTTTGTGGAGCCTTGAAACTCAGCTATCACTCTCTCGACAACATTGAACATAACTACAATGTCTATTGTGGTAGAATAAACAGTGTCTATCAACCTAATGCCCATGGTGAATTAGTATAATCGACATGTACGGAGTATTAGAGTAGAATAAGAAAGACACCTTATCTGTTGTTCGGGTAGCTCATATTCACCTCCTAATGAAAGGTCAGCTAAGTGTCAAGCCACATTAACTAGTACCAGGCAAAGAGACACACAAGCTTAATTACCATGAAGAATTTAAGAATACAGTGTACTCCTTACATATTTCGTTTTTTTTTTCCTCTGGTATACAGTAACGGTCTCAAAATACGGTACCTAGTTGTCAACGGTAGATGCCCCCTTCCTGCTAGCATTGTCACGTCAGGTACACCTGCACGGTTAAACCATCTCAAATAGAGTACATGATACCTATCGATAACTCTAACGATCATATAGTCCAAGTTAGGTACCCCAGACCTTTCTGGAGCCGCACCGATCGCATATGTACATGGCGCGTGGAGGAGGCTGAGAGGTGAACCAACCAGAGATGCTATTAAGAAAACCCGCTCCCATACAGTGCAATGATTAGAGATATTGTATTTAACCCCGCGGAGATATCTCAACATGTCTGTTCTGTATTCTGTAGCTCACCACTGTGTCGGGAATTCAATATCAACAGTAGTAATTGTTTATCTTCCCCATTCCCCCTCATTCCCCAGACTAAGATGTTTATTTGTACCTGATATCTCTCACATTGAAATACTTTATAACTGGGGCCAGTGAATACCCACTAGATAGCACTTGGTGTTGCACATTTATTTTCTTATTCATATAGAAATGTGGCTAACATAGAAAGGCTCAGATGATAGCTACAATATCAAAAATTGAGTAACTATCGCTATTATTTAGTTTTCTTCTAATCGCGGCCTTTTTGCACACCTGAGAGATAGAAATCCCAATTCTTCGTCCTATACTAGCACTCTGCAATTAAAAGGTTCGCTTGGTATGACACTAATAATAAGGCGGAAATATTAGCCGTAAGTTTATGCTGTGGCTCCCTATCAAGCTCCCACCACCATAGTCTCCTTGCAGGAGTTGATCACGGCGTGAGCGATCTCCACCCAGTTCAGGCTGTAAATGTTCAGGATAAGAACACCCCGACTGCGCATATTCCAAGACATTTTCAAGTCATCAGCTAAACTAATTATCTCGTTTCCGAAGGCAAAAGATATCAGCTTATCCCCTATGAGACAACTCCCTTTTTGTGGCGCACAGATTTCGGGGAACAGATGGTAGATCTTGATGCCAGTGACGAATACTTTCGATTGACCAGGAATGACGATATACTTGGCAGCTAATTAATCGAAGTGTTCTTGTGTTTCTAGCTAGCGGTAATCGCGACAATTCTGTCGATGCCACTACATTTCAGGAGTACTGCAAGATTTAAAATGGTAACCTTGTGGCTTAGTGGCTAAGACGTAGTTTTCATCCGGGCCAGGACTGAAAGCTACATGTCAACGTTGCATTTTTATAGGTGGAGCACGGGCGTATACGATGTCGTTATCGCGTATGAAGATGATTAGCAGGGTTTAAGGTTATAGTATAACATAAAAGGCGCAGTGCTTCATAACAAATCCAAGGAGTAAGACAAAAGAAGAGTGGTCAAACCTTGGGGCTGAAAGCAATTCGGTAACCAAGATGCGCGGAGTTGATTACTCGAAGAAGAGCCTCGAGATCGAAGCAACTTTGCTTTTCATGGCTTTCTGTGCCTGATCATATAGTAATCTCTCTATCCGATGATCTCCTTGACCTTCTCATCCTGCATTGTGGCGCCGCACTAAGTAGAGGCGTTGTTATCCACACTTTCGGTTCGCGGGTCTGCAGCAGGGGAGACGCATCTGTCGCAGGAAATATACCGCCCTATCCGATATACCTGGGATGTTTGGGTAGAGGGAGGGGAATAGTTCCGTGTGACAAGTCGACATATCATAAAGCATGATCAAGCTGCCAAAAATCATACTTTGTGGCAAATGACTCGGAATGTTTTTGACATATGGAGCATGATTTCATGTTACGAAAATTACAATGAACTGGAGGATGACAAAGTATTTGGGTTATCGAGCGTTGTTGTCATTTGGACTTCTACAGGGAGGTCAAAGCTTGAGAGACAAAAAGCAAGATGTCGTTCTGTGACCGTGCCGCTGGGATAGAAGTAGCCGGTGTTTCCCAAGGCACCCTTTCGACTTTTGAGACACACATATTTAGCGTTTTAAGCATGATTCCTGTGGGGCACCTTCTCGGAGCAAGAGGAACTAGTGACGTGCAGGGCCATTCAGAAGGCCCTTGATGCAAGGAATAGTGGGTTTCGGAAGCTGCACCCTGCATTTCCGCCGCGAGGGGCGACCTCATGATGGGAGTGCAAAGAGCCAAGTCCGAGGTAAGCGCCACTGAATAGCCTTGCGAGTCGAGTCAAGGGTTCATAATTGAAAAATAAGTTGCAACCCAAAAAAAAAAAAAGCGTTTCTGTTCAGTTCTTCCCACGTTTCATGCATATGCTGTGGGGTGCAGTCCTTGCAATTAGTATAAAAAATATACAACAATGTATATCAAATTTTGGATGGAGTTTGGCGAAAGGAAAAAGCTGTTTGCTCCGTCTGAGTAAGCTTCAGTCGTGCCTGAGACGGGTGGGAAGATTAAACCTAGTCCCGGCTGTACAACGGGGAGGTCCTCGTCCGACGGTGAGCGTTCTTGTTGAACAGATTCGAAACCTTTCTGGCCAAAAGCCTTTGGCCTCCTTCTGTTCAGCACAGTAACTAGACGAGCTTGACGACCCATGACAAGGCAGACTGAACAGTTCATCTCCTGTTCGTCCTGCATCTTCGCGTCTTTGCAGCGGAATCCTTGAGCTGACGTTGCTTTTTCCTTATTCGGCTAGGCCTGATGGGGAAATTGACTGGGCTCTGCCATGTGACTTGCCCATCACAGCCTAGCGCCCTAGCCGGCGCTTGTACCCTAAAGTATTATTGCCCTGATTTTATATGTAAAAGTACCTAAAAATACTTTTATCTGACCCGCTTATCTAATTTGCAGTCCCTCTCGCCTATTGTCGCCCGTTTCTTTTCCCTCGAGGACCTTTTCTTCTTCGCCTTCACTCCATCGCCAGGCCTGCTGCGACGTTTCTGCATACCCATATCTCGCCGTCTCGCTCGTCTTTTCTCGCTCTGCTTGCCTCTTCTCTGTCGTGTGCCCATCGCTGCATCCATTGGACATATATCGAACGGACACTCGATCGCACAGAACAGTTGCTGCGAAGCAGCTCGCACATTCCAACCCCCGCAGAGAATACCGTACGTCCGCGGCGCAAGAACCAGACCCCTCCAAAAACACCTCGGGCCCAGGAGCATTAAAACCCGACCTCGACGAAGCGCGCTGCTTCAATACACATCTATTTGCCGTCGCATCGCATGATAGTTAGAGTATTGGTCTGTTAAGCGAAGAGACTGAGAGCTCTTGAGATGAATCAAGATCCGTCTCTGCCGTCATGGCCAGAGCACGCCCCTGATGAAGCCGCCGCAGCCATGATCCCTACCACGGCAGAGGACTATACCAGTCTTCTCGATTTCAACTTCGACCTTGCCGAATTTGATGGCGGTAATGCTGGTGAGCGTCAGAACCAGAATATGGTGACCACAGCGCCGCCACTTGTCTCAACGACCGGAATGCAGGATATCAGTGGGCTGACTTCGATGGAACATATTAACACCAGCCAACCCCTGCAAAAGCAGCAGCATTTTCCAGCCTCAGTCACCATGGCAGGAAGCGAACCCGTCACGCCAATGGAGATACAAGGCTCCAATTCAATGCAGCTGCAGCAGCAGCACTTTTATATGAAGCAGCAGCAGCAGCAACAGCAGCAGCAGCACTCTCAGAATGCTTATGGCTCAAATTATGGCCAACGTCAGTCGTTTGTTCCACCAACGCCTGATAGCGCCGATATGCATTGTGGATCGCATAACTATAACCTCCGCCTCGAGACTGGACATCAGCGAGGATATGAACCCTTTACCAGAGGACTGGAAGATCAGGTAAGCTCATCCACTTATCTTTATTTGCAACGTTTCTTTCAAGCTATCTTGTCCATGGAACCAACAGCTAACATATTATTTAGAGCTCATTTACTCCCCTCATGTCACCAGCTATGACCCCGTTAGAACATCAGCTAAGGTTCCCCGAATACACCACTCCAGGGGAGTATCTGAGCCCACTTACATCTCCAGCTTTAGAGGCACGGCAATCAAACGGAGCCGGTTTTACTTTTCCCAATGGCTCACATATGGACTACGGCTCCATGTTGTCATCGCCGACCGACATGTCACATCAACATCCAGCAACAACGGGCCCATTAACGAACTCTCCGAAGCTTATTCAGAAACAACGACGCAAGTCTCAGGCCACTAGACTATCACGGCAGTCTCCCTTGGTGAGACCTCAAAACGGTCGTTCGCGACCGCAGACTGAAGCCGAAGCCCGCGCGAGAGCGAAAAAGCTCTCTGCCCAGGCCGCTGCTAACAGAACTTCAAATTCGCGCAATTCCAGCAGCAATGAAGGATCTGGTCTAGATTCTGTCTCGCCTGAGCCACTTACGGAGCCGCTGATGCCACCACCCGCTTTACCAAGATCTGGAAAATCGCCATACATGGGTGCCCAAGATCAGCCCACTACCATGAGCGAAGTAGCAACTCCAGCAACCCTCATGAAATTACAGAAGCAGCAGATCTCCCCTGGCATGGATGGAGAGTTCTCTAGGAATGGAACTGTTGTTGTCGGGTTGGCACCAGAAGAGCACATGGAAGACATATCACTCCCGGAACCTGCTTCGCTCCAGGGAGTGCCAAGTGGTGAAAGCACGCCGACCATCCACGCCAAACCGCCGCACACTATAAAACCGCGCACTGAATCGATATCAGAACTAAAAGGGACGAACTCCGTTACCCCAAGCCCTGTAATAAAAGCAAAAGGATCACCCAGCGGCCCGGTTGGCCTCAAGCGATCCGATTCGAAACAGAGTTCTCGAGTGACAAAGAAACGCCAGGGAATGAGCGCCGCCCAGAGTCCAGCACTGAGACCAAAAATTAGCCCGAGCATACAACCTCTCATTCGTGCTGACGGTACTACTACTCTTACCCCTTGTTATTCCCACTATTTATATCTATAATGCTTTTCATTCTCTGTACTGACTTTTAACAGGTGTGTCAAGCGAAACCTCGGCTTTACATCTTGCCTCAAAATCGAATTATCAACATATTCTTGAAGGTACACTCCTACCGGGAGTAACATACCCAGAAGCCCTTGCCGAAAATCTAAGCTCCAAGAGAACAAACCATAAACTTGCTGAGCAAGGTCGCCGAAATCGCATAAATTCCGCCCTCAAAGAGATCGAAAGCTTATTACCAACTTCATTAACTCATAGAGCCAAGGAGAAAGAGCAAAATAAAGATTCTGCGGATGGTTCCTCAACTGGGGTTTCGAAAGTCCCCGATAAACCTTCTACGAATCAGCCCATTAGCAAGGCGAGCACAGTTGAAATGGCCATCGTTTATATCAAGGCATTGAAACAAGAACTAGAAGACACCAAGGCCAAGCTCAAGGCGGCAGAATCAAAATACTGCAATGAGTCTCCTGGCCATGTTCCTGCGCAAGCTCCTGTTCCTGCGTCAGGCTCCGAATCAAATTCATTGCAGATCTCTGATGCCCAAGTTGAACAGCAAGATACCATGAGTGGAGTCCCTGCCGCTGATACCAACCCGGGATCAAAATAAGTCAACCGCCATACCAAGGGATAGGAGTTTGTTTTTGTCAGTTCGTTCCGTTCTAGCATGTTTGCTCCCAGCTGGCTGCTTTCTCCTCCACACGCTCGTCCACTTTCTTTGGCACCTCTCTTAATGTGACCTCCGACCATCTCGTTTAAACACATAAGAATTCTATTTATAATCCAAGGGATATGGATATAATTCTTTTATTCACCACAATTACTATATCCCACGCTACAAATTTTGATTTTTATGTCTGTCAATGTCCTTTCGATGTCCCTGCATGTTTCGTGTCTCCTGTAAATATATATCTCAGTTCTCGCCAAGGACTCAGACCAAGATCTTCCTTCACTAGAAAGATCTCGGGACTAAATACCTCTGCCGTTGCAGGTGGCAATGAACTTTTCCTTTTTTCTCCTTTCAGTGTGGTGGTGGACGGTGCATACGCTCTGGTTTTTATATAGTTTTATTTTCTTTTCCTGATGGAGGAGCTTTGTACATACTTTTTGAGTTATGTCTTTTGCTTTTTGCCGTCACATCTTTCTGTCATTTTTCTTTCACGCCTTTTTCTTGATTACTATCCATGGTGGGGTTGAGCGGCTGTCTGATAAGTTCATATATATACGGCGGCCCAGTTCAATCCAACCTTTACCTGCATATTGTCACGCCCAATATTCTGTCTATAACTAGTTACGTGTATCTAGTAACGTGTTATCCTGTTACCTAAAAATGCTTGTGCTCGCTGATACAAAATATCACTGATTTACCCAAAATTCTCTAAAAACAAAAAATATAAAAATTGTATTTTTTTTTTTTTCTTCTAGACGTAAATACTGCGAGATACCCGTGTCGATAGTGGCGAACCAGTAGTTTTGATTTGGCCCGATTGTCCTTGATTGCTTCTACCAGGGGATTGAAACCTTAGTTAAGGATGAGAGCCGGGACCAAATCCGCACATTCACTCTCCCAAGAATGAAAATGTTACGGCGGGAAAAAAGGCAAGTGAACTTGCCACAGCTGCGTCTCTTGGAGTAGCTAACTTCAGAACTAGGGTGCTGTCCAGCCGGTTATGAGCGAAGATTCCGACTTGACGTTTAGCATGCTTGACATACCCCCTTGTATCTATCCACTTAGCTAACAGTTTTCAACGTATGGCCGCTCCGCGTTAACTCCTAGAGCCAGCAAAGTAAGAAGGACACTATGGATTTCTTCAATGATGGTATCAGCGAGAATCGACACTTCTACGCAGTGCTGGTGACTAGTATGCATTCTGAAAACACGCAGAAGCAAAGATCGATTCAAAATATCAAACTGGCTGATCACCGTTGATTCAGAGGTACTGGCGCCTACTTTTGAGGCCGATTTATTCTATTCCGCCTCTTGAACGGTACGCAATCTAGACTAAGAACGGCTACTTATAAGATGACATAGCAAGTGAATTATTTACTACATTTTTGCTAACGCTCCTTTTACTGCAGAGCGCGGATAGATACAATGGCGAAAATTTCGCAATAGAAAGCTGGACCCATAAGTAACTCAATCCAAAGCCTTCGCTATTCTATAACTATTATAACTAGTTAACTAACTTAACCGTTATAATAGCACCCACTGTTTTAGCAATAGGCTAGGCAAGTTTGAAGAGACTTATCGATCGAGGGAGAACTAGTAGATATGTAATGACGCAACAAATATTGGCTCTCTTGCTGCCCTTACGAAGGGTCTATTGATGATATGGCCCTTCGAAGCTCTGTTAGGTTACGTTGTAAGTGACTCCTGAATAGAACCAAATACACCATGGGAAAGTTTGATTGTGAAATAGACTAGTTATGACTACAGTTGAGAGGCATCTTTGTTCTAGCCGTCGTCGACCCAACTATATTCCCAACTTAGCCGCCGATACGACCGGCTCAGCGAGTGTCTTTGGCTCAAGTTGTTCTCCGAATCGTCGCGGCCGTCACAGTACTATATCGAAAATACTTAGACTTTGATGGAGTCTTCTCTGTCAAAAACGTCGCGGAGGTTGAATTTGGCTTCAGGGAGGTCCAGCGACCAGTTGAACCATCATTGGAACTCTATCCGGAGTCAACGACAATCACTATTCATTCTTGCTGATAGTATAATTTTGAAGGGGGTGGATATATGGGCCCAATTCGTTCTTGGGGACTCGGAAACCATACAGAGCGGGATCTAGATCTTAGCTATAACATTACTCCTCCTTCACAACTCCAACCTACCAGAATCTTCATGGCTCGAGAGAAGTATACCTTAATTTATTCCATTGTGGTTGTCATTTATTTGGACATTCATGATAGAAGAAGATAAGCCGCAGAAAATATTTATTTAGTGAAAGTACCGTAACGGTCTAGGAGTTCTACCATATGGAAGTTATTTCTCTCAACAGCTGTGTTCAGGGCCCGGCTGAGGTACAGTTTCCACCGAAGTGTCTTTGATTCGGTCTGCTCTGTAGTTCTCTTCAATAACACCTCCAACGTGGGGACACTGCCATTGATGACCGCCAACTCTATCAGGTTGGGGAAATCTCCAGATACATTTACTTCAAAACTGTCCAGGAGGAAAGACAGTAGGGTATCATTGCAATGTTTGATAGCCGATTTAAGGACAGATTTGGGAGAGTCAACAGGAAGTTGTATGGAGTCCTGAGTAAGTAAATACTCCATGAAGTCCACAGTGGTTTGGCCATACGGTTCAACAAATTCCCAGGCCAAAGAGGCGTTGCTATTTCTCACTCCCACCTTGAGAGTTGAAAGTAGCAAAGCAATCGGTATATGGCTGATTCTACCAGAAAAAGGGTTCGTCCCTAAGCATAACCGGATATGACCAGTAAGGTGCTCATTTAGAATCAACTTAGAAATCCTAAAGTACCCCCGAGATGCCGTTTCAAGGAAAACATAAGGGAAATGTCGACTGATAAGTGTTGCTCCGGCTGCTAACAATATCCTAACTGTTGTTTCATGGCCTTGAAGCATAGCCGCATGAATGGGTAAATCGCGGTCATATGGTAATATGCATCGACCAACATCCGCGCCACGAAGGAGCAATTGAGTGACCAGCTCATCTTCTCCAACAGAAGAGGCTGCGAATAAGGCTGCGTGGTCACTGTCGGCTCCATTCTGCAAAATCGTTTTCACAATCCTGCTACAGCCACCAAGCCCGGCACCCATGATAGGGGAGAATATCGTGTCACGGCAGGCTTGAACATCAGCTCCACGGCGTATCAATTTATTCACCATGGTTTCATGCCCACCAACGGCTGCGAAGTAAAGAGCCGGAGCTCCCACTCTATCAGTTGAGTTGGGATCAAATTTCCCAAGAAATATGTTAAATATTTCCTCTTCTCCTCTTTTAATAGATGCTATCAATGCATTCCCATGCTTTTTGGCAGCTTGGTGGATATCTGCCCCGTATTCCAGTAAAACCTTCACTGTTTCTGCATCACCAGACTCAATTGCGTAAGCCAGTGGATATTCTGTCCCCTTAGGAAAGAAGTTTGCATCAATTCCAGTCTGCAGGAGTAGTTTTGCTTCGTCATGGTTTCCATGTCGAGCTGCTAATTGGAGTGCAGTTTGTGATGGTGCACCTGCGCCAGCAAGTTCTATTGCCATTGATGAAATCTCCTAGCTATTGTTCAATGTTAGCACTCGTAGAATAAACAAAATATGATATAGCATTGAGTCTCACTTTGTTCCCGGAAGATAACTAATGGTTTAATCAGACGTGCAATAATGGTAGAGGTTCCGGAGCTGACTTCAAATGTTCATTCTCTCTCAAAGAACGTAAAGGTGGGAGACAGAGTAGAAGAATAGAGCCTTACCACGCCTGCTAGTTATATATGATTGAACATATTAATATAGCCTTGTGTATGTCTAACCTTGCAGTGGAGTTATGCATACCGAATCCTCATCGCTCAAAATTTCCGAAAAAGTTGGGAGCATTCGCATTGTGATTTCATAACTAAGCATGAAGGATTTCGTATGGAGAAGGAGGTCATTGTCGATACTTATTTCTTCTCGGTAGGGACGGCGTCCCCTGTGTATCTGTCGGGAAGGCCTAAGTTCACCGTTTATCGAGAAACTATCCGGGGATGTGCTGGAGTGTGGCTCATATAGGGAATGCCGATGGCATCGATAAGGCTTACCTAGATGTCGTTACGTATAGTTATACATACGAACAGGTAGACTGTATTTGGAGGCTATTTCCCCCTGTCAGCCTCTCTGGCCCGTGATGTGAATGGGACGCCGATGTCAACACAATTGGCTATTGTCATATTTTCTTTCGGTGTCGTATCCTGGTCTTTTCAAAGAAGAATCGTAACTATGGATCATCGTTGCTTATCTGGTCCATCCATAAAATGCAAGGCTTCCCAAGGCTAGCTTGTCAGCCTAGACTATACTTAACACGATAAGGGTCTCAACGTATAGCCAGGGCTACCGGTATATTGACCGTACGGACAAGATATCTAAGCTGGAACTGGTTCGGAGTGTCATCAGTATATCAGAAGCATAAACTCATTAGCAATTATTCCATGCCAAATTAGTTTATTTCAAATCTTTACAATTTATTCACATGAAAATGCCAAAAGAAGCCCCAAAAAATGGACGGTTGCGTGGAAAGGTATAAAAAAAAAAAAAAAAAAAAAAAAAAAAAAAAAAATCAAAGGTAGTTAATCCTCAAAGAAGTTCAAAATCGCTTTGATTCCCTTGGTACCCAGCCCATGGCGTGGGTAAGCGATATAAACGGGCTCCTCGTGCGCTCCAAGTTTAGCCCTGAACTCCGTCTTCCGAGTTAACTTGAACTGCTTGACAATGGTATCATATGTGTGCTGCAGCACCTTGGCTTTGACGCTGCTTAGATTATGACCAGGGATTAGATGTGGAATAGCACCACCGCCAAATGTAAGGGACTTCACACCCGAGCTTGCAGCGGATTGAATAGCGTGAGTTATGATATATTCAATTGAACCGGACGGGGATCCTGGGAAATCTAGACTGTATTTAACCTGCATGCCATGACGAGGAGCCAGCTGCGCAAGGGCGACGAAAGAACAGATTTTGCCCTCGCTATCGGTTGCATAGAAGTATCGACGATGAGTATGGTCGCGCCACGGGGTGATTTCAGAAAGATGGATCTGAGTACCTTTCCTATTGTTTTTCCAGTCCTCTATTCGAGCATCTATCTTCTCCTTAATGTCATCTGGGACGGGTTCGCCGGGAGTAATCGCGTGAATTCTGATGCCTTCGTGTTCCGCCCGACGGATCTTGCGGGCTATTTCGCCATCTGATGCGGCACGGTTACGTTGAGGGTCAACTCGTTCTTCAGCAACACATGAAAGACTTCGCCAACCCAGGTGTTCACCGAGTATTTCTTCGACATCGGCAGAGCAAAGGATCCAAATTGGTCTGAGATTTGTTTCCTTTTTTAGCCATTGGAGGAAAGATACAACAATGCGACGATACTGGGTTGTATCGCAAAGGGGGTCTCCAGCGATAACTGCGTATCCATGAGAAGGTACATAAGAAACCGCAGCACCTGTGGCATAATCCCGCCAAATCTTATATCTATCGTCAAGCCATGAGGTAGACGTAGAATCACCATAGTTGGCAATAAGATCTTCCAATGCCTGCAACTTTCGACTGGGATCAACCGGTGCATTGCGAGGCTTGTTTTCATCTTGCCATGGAGGGTTGAGGGTTGATGCCTCTGGATGGCGGAGAGGGACGGGCTGCTCATGACGAGGGAAGCTCTTTGGGTCTCGGTGGAAAAGAGATCCCAGCCGGATGTTGCCGAGCTTCAGTATTAGCATCAGCAGTCTCTCTAAACCAATTCCAGCACCGGCATGCGGAGGAGCTCCCCATTTGAAGCCTTCCATGTACTCTTCCATGGTGGATGGGTCGATTCCAACTTCTCTCATTCGTTTGTCCAGTAGGTCAGGGTGATGGATACGCTGACCACCAGAAACAATCTCCTGTCCTCGAACGAAAATATCAAATGATAAGGTGAATCTTTCATCATCTGGATGTGGCATAGCATAGAAAGGTCGGGCAGTTGCCGGGAACTTATCCAAGATATAGTAATCTGTATGGAACTTCTCCTTGACAAGTTCACCCAGCCTAATCTCATCCCGTGTGCCAAAGTCCTCAGTCTCCGATAGCTTGTTCCCATTCTCATCCACCCAGCCGGAGTCATTCAGCATTTTAACTCCATCGGCAAACGAAATAATAGGGGTTTCATCGAGCCAAACCAAATCCTCAGATGGGAAATGGTGCTTGATAACCTCTATCTCCAACCGATATTTCTCATAGATAGTTTTGAATATAGATTTGAGCACGCTGTCAAGGACTTCCAGAGCTTCATGATAATGCTCTTCGATGGCCATTTCAATATCCAATCCGGTATACTCTGTAAGATGCCTATGTGTGTTCGAGTTCTCTGCTCGAAAGACCGCGCCAATTTCGTAGACCCTCTCAAAATCTGATGCAATTGCCATCTGTTTCGCGAGCTGAGGGCTCTGAGCCAGGAAAGCAGGGCGTCCGAAATAGTTCACACCAAAGACGCTAGCTCCTGATTCTGTGGCAGCTGCTTGGAGCTTGGGGGAATGTATTTCAATGAAATTCTGCGCATCAAGGCAGGACCTGAACATGGTAGAAATGGCAGACTGAATTCTGAAGATAGACTGTGAGGTATCAGTGCGGAGATCGAGGATTCGGTTGGACAGCCTCGTGCGATCGGGAATCTTCTGGCGTATACCTTCCAGCCGCTCTTCATGGGCACCGGCAAGTTCGGCTTCATATACACTGAATGGCACTGGCTCCTCTCGGCATACAGCAACGTGGAGTTCTTCAATCTCGAGCTCGAGATTATGAATCGTTGTTCCAAAGACAGGAACGTCTGGTGCCTTTAGACGTCCTTTTACCTTCAAAATTGAGCCAACTGGAATGCGCTCAGCCCAATATATCATGTTCGCAGACCTCAGCTTAGGCTCGGTATGTAGAACACCTTGTAAGGTATGCAGCTGCTGCCGGAATACTAAGAATGCAAACTTTGCGCCCATGCGACGAACAACGTGTAGACGAGCACGGAATGTCAGCTCCTGACCCTTCATCTCGTCTATGATGGACTCGAACTTGGCAAGATTTGCGCGCGGACGATCTCTAGACTGCATCATCGGAAGATCACCGTATCGTGCCTTCATCTCCGGAGTATCATCATTGTTCTCTGCAGGGCTATCATTGCTGCCTTTGAGTTCCGACCGCGTAGTGTCCATTGAGCCGTCTCTTGTCTCTGTGCTCAGTCTGGACCTGCTCTGCTCCTTTTTTTCGCGCCGTGCCGCACGCTTCTGTTCATTCTTGCTGGAGACACCGCTGTTATCATCACTGAAGTCGTCGCTAGAGTAAACATATTCCTTCTCCTGAAGGAAAGCACCAAGATTTGAGCGACGGTGGGGGATCAAGTCAGACTCAGAGGCAGACTGCTTGATTTTCGATATCGCATCCCTGAGGGCCGACATTTTGAATCTTGCGTTTCGTGGAAGGTAAAAGTTCTGAGGGTTTCAGTGACTGCTTCAACAAGTCAGGCTTCACTCTCCTCGTCTTCTGGCAATTTCCAGGAGGTGACTGCCGCGGGGTCTCCGGGACGGATAAGTATCCAGAGGAGAGCGGTTTAGCCCCTGTTCGGAGTTATGACGTCCCAACACCAACGAATGCAAGGATTGGGTCACTTATAAGCGAATAATGCAAAATCGAGGACGTTAGCTGCGTTAAGATAAAAGAGGCAGAGGGCAACGGCAGGAGACGAGAAAGGCCTATAGTTATAGCCGTACGTACAGGCACTATCGGAAGCGAGGTAAGGGCGTCATCAACGAAGCGATCTTCTCTGGGCCCACCGTCTGCTAGGCGAATGAGCTTTGTAATTGATTTATGATGCAGAACCACGGAGAACCAGAGTATGTTTTCCTCTGTGATCCGAATAGCCTGCAATGTTGCGGTTGCCCTGCCTTGCGTACGTGGGCTTGTTTCCTTCTCTGGGACGGGGCGAGCAACTGTTCCGCTGGGGCCGTAGTTACATCCATATGTTGCGAGAACCGGAACAACCGCGGTTGTATCGGTTCTCGAGATATATATCCACTAGTTATTTCGAGAGAATCCTCACTGTTAATCCAACGCCCTTGCTTGTGCGAGAGTAACGAGGCAGCAGCCAACCCCGGCACTGCTAACTTTTTGCTCCTGTTCTGCGGGCACAATAATCAGGGATATCGTAGTTATGCGGACAGGCCTGCAAGCTTTTATGAGACGCACCAACGACGTCATATCAACCGGAAGAGTCGAGCCGCAAGGCCGAGCTAGGCAGAAGAAGCAATAATAAGAGAGTCAAGGATCCAGAAGCATTCGCTACTATGGCCGGTCCAGAGCTGCGAGTGGCCACAGAGAGAGCCGAGTGTTCCTGCGTCTCGCCACAGACGGGAGGGCCGAGGAAGATATCGTGGCTGAAGCAGCTGGTTATTCGGTCCAGGAGCAACAAGGCTGCTGCTCAGACGTGCGATTGAGGCATGAGACATCGACGGCACGGCTGAGAATGACCCAGGCTCGTCTTTCTGCTGCTCTGTTGTTCATCTTCTAGAAGGTCGGTTCTTGGGGCCTTGTTGCTGCTCGTCTGATGTCCTCTCGACCGGTGCCCGCGGCGCCTTTATACACATAAAACACCCGTCGAAAGCGAGCCGACGTTCCTGATCCCAGGCCGACAATGGAACAGAGACCTCCTAACAAGGCTTGGATGCGGGTGCAGATAGTGATCTTGCGGTTTTTGATGCGCATCGGCATGGTCCTCCATGGCTATCCTCCGCCGATACCACCGCGCCCGTCCTTCGTTCGAACGCTGCCTCGGCTGGACGAGTTCGACTCGCAGCGGGTGAAGCTGTACTTCTACACTCCCAAGCGGTACGCTGAGCAGAAGCGAGCCGGCCACCGGTACCCGGTCGTGGTCAACTTCCACGGCGGCGGGTTCTGCATAGGCAAGGCGACGGACGACGCACGCTGGGCTCGCGCGGTGGTCGAAGGCGCCGACAGCGTCGTGGTGAGCGTGGAATACCGCCTGGCGCCCGAAGCGCCCTTTCCGGCTGCTGTAGACGACGGCGTCAGGGCCCTGCAGTATCTCGAGGACCATGCGGCCGAGCTGGCGTTGGATGTGTCGCGGGTCAGCCTGTCCGGCTTCTCGTCTGGCGGGAATCTCGCCTTCACCGTTCCCCTGCGCCGCCATCTGCTCCGGCAAGACTCTCTCAAGCCCTCGCCGACGCCATCGACGACGCTGACCCCCTACGAGACGCAAGACGGGAGCTCGATAAACCTGCATCTGTCGACGTTGTCGCAGTATCCGCCGGGCAGCACCAGCAGGCCGTCTGCCTCGAGGTCCCAGTCGGCACAGCATCTGCTTCGACATACAAGCACGACCACCTCAACGAACAACGGCAGTGACAGCAGCAATAATAACGGGCGGTCACAGACGCCTGCTTTGTCTCTGCGGATAATATCCATTATATCATGGTACCCGATAGTCGACTACGTCCTGCCTAGACACATACGCCGTGACAGAAGCGTCTTCCCGTCCAAGACGCTGCCGAAGTTCATGACCACCTTGTTCGACCACAGCTACATGCCTCACGAAGCCAGTAGACATCTGCCATATGCCTCGCCTTTACTGGCACCTCCCTCGCTGCTAGCAGATGCTCTGCCCAAGGATATCTTTCTGTACGTCTGCGAGTGGGACATGCTGCTCCACGAAGGGCATGAGTTTGTGGAAAAGCTCAAGGACTGCGGAGGAGGCAAGGCCGTTCGGTCGATGATGATAGAGTCACAGAAACATGCATGGGATAAATCTGTCAATCCCCTTAGAGATCAGGAGAGTATAGATGTTTTTTACAGGACGGCGGCAGAACAGCTAAGAGTGGCTAACGAACGGGCATAGGGAAGGAGGCTGCATCTCTTCGCCCACTCTGTACGATATACTAACATGTTCTTGTATTTGCATTTCACCATGCGATTAATCTACGACAGTTACGGCATCTTTTAAGATTATATTCGAGGGAAATATACAAATCCTTTATTTATTTTTTCCTGCTTTTTATAGATCAACTTTTCAAGCGCGGTATCAAAGACCAGATAGAAGGTCGCTTTTACGCCGCCACACCAACCTAGACCCGGAAACCGATCAGATAGAGATTAAATAAAAGCAGACGGTAAGAGGACAGGCTGTATTTCTGCCTCTGTCTCTAACATAGGCGAACAAAGGTGAAGAAGGAGTAGGTATGAACTTTTTATGTTCTTTCACAGGTAGGAAGGGGAAGTAGATGAGAGCAGCGCTAAATCGAGCAAAGAGAGAATAGGATAAAATGGCAGATAACTGACGCCCGTAGATAGAGCATTGTCCTGTAGTTCGGTTAAAGCAAGTGGTTAAAAACCGGGGTATCAAGATTAGAAAGAAAAATGGTTGTAAAAAAAGTGGGTGTATGTGCAAAAGAACAGCATGCGTAGATGTTGGTAGGGTTACTCCTCCTCTGTCTCTGTGTGTCTGTCGACGTCGTTATGATCTTCGTCTTCGTCTTCGCTGGCGGTGTCATCATCGTCATCCTCGTCTAGACCACGGTCATCCAAGCCTACAACTCTGACATCCTTATAGTCAATATAATCACCCTGCAAGCGTCTGGCACCGCGAGGCATCTTATACGGATCAAAGGGAAAATAGTCATCCAACTGGATGGCGAGGTTGTCATCTGCACGAGTTTCGCGTTCAATGGTTCCATACATTGTATCCATGGCCATCGAACTCATACCGCGGAAGCTGTGAATGCGGATACGTTTGTTGCTCTCAAGTTTCGGGTAGAGGTAGAGAAGACCGAAGTAGTGGGTGATCTTGGCGAATTCGGCAACGATGCCGGGCGAGCAGACCTTGAGAGGATTGAGCTTTGAGTAGATCGCTCGATGCAGCATGTTGGTCATCTCCTGTGAGAAAGACACCTCATCAACATTCAGGTGGGTGAGAGAGTTGCCTTCTGCTTCAGCCTCGACAGCAGCGATGGTGAGATCTTTCCAGCGGAAGCAAAAGATATAGAATAGCGCCTGAGCAGTGGAGTAGAATGGCCCATAACGACGGAGGTCGGGGCCACGGCAGTCTGCTTCGTAAGATGATAGAAGCGATAGGATGTGTGAGCCAAGTAGACTGAACACATCACGGATCACGTCGCCAGAAACATGAGCACCGCGAGCGACGAAACTGGCAAGATAAGCAGCAGCATATTGGCGGATGATGACCGGCTGAGACTTGCTCAGGATGATCTCGATACATGTGGTGGCGAAGCGGTCAACGAAGATGGGGGAGGCCTGGGCGAAATGGAAGAGGACGAACTGAGCGTGTCGAGAGCGGTAGGATGGAAGAATGATGCTTTGGAAGTGAGCCAGGAGAAAATCGAGAACTTGTTCTTGGTCTTCAAGCGAGCCAGAGATGAAAGGATAGTTGTAGTACTCGAACAAGATGTCCACCATTGAGTCAACTTTGAGCATGCACGCTTTTATAGACTTGATGCGCTGGAGATCTGGATCTTCCTCATCAACCTCAGACTCCTCATCCAAATCATCATCATCATCATCCCCATCATTATTTTCAAGGGTAGACGGGTCTGTGGCATTCAGCGCGTCCATGATATCCTGCTGAGAATCTTCATCCAAGTCTTCCATATTCACTTGATTCTGGGCATCAATCTTGACCAGCTTTTCTGTTATGAGAGCAAGGATGTCGGATCGAAGTTCTGGGAGGTAAGATATAATCTTGATGAGGTTTCGTGTGTAGGCAAGATGGCTTTTTACTGGATCGGAGTCGTGAGGGAAACTGGAGGATAGGATAGGGGAGAGGGTAACGCTGCAAGCGGGGACAACCTGAGCTATTGAACGTATGGCATAGTGAACTCGATGGTACATCTCCGAGCTGTCGACCGGGTCATAATCAGGCAAGTTTCCGCATCGAGGATCAACTTTAGCTATTGTTAGCCTGCAGTCATCTTAGAATCATATTGGGAAGGAGACTGTTCTAACCTTGCTGCAGGCCGTTAACAAGCATTTTGAGGACTGAATTAAGGTAACCACCACGAGCAGCACACAGAGTAGCCAGAAACTGAGCAAATAGTCTAACATACGCTGTGTCTCTGCCGACCCATTCGCTTTTAAGCATCGCGTGCACCAGACCACTGCATGAACCGTCCAGCGATGAAACATTGCCCAAAAGGCCCATGAGATGGTTCTTCAGCGACACTGGACTAGGCAGGTCAAAGACAGGTGTTCCATCATCTTCCAAGGCCTTGGGATCGACCGAAAACATTTCCTTGATACGGTCATACCCCTCACTATGGCCCATCAGATGTCTCTGTATGGCGCGCCTAACCTCCTCTCTCGTCAACGCCCTGTCTCTCTCAGCCGCCTTCTCATCAGCTTCGGTGTCCATGGTCTTTACTGGACTCACAGGCGAGCCCACGGAGATATCGAACTTGACTCGGGCGCGTTTTCTGCGGGGGCCAGGAGAACCGGCGGGTGTGATGGCGGTTGTAGGACTGGCATTGGTGTCGGAGTAGGCCGATCCTGTCGAGAGCTCAGACGGGATGGTGAGATCGAGCTGCTTGCGTTTCTGGCCAGCGACAGATGAAAACGTCTTCAGAATTGATTTCGAGGGCTTTGAGACAGACGATGGAGTCGATGGGAGGTGCGTAACAGAGACCATCTTGTCGTCGTGCTCTTTAGTCTATTTGCAGCCTGGCGAGGCGAGCAGAGGAGCAGAAATCACGGCAGATGTTGCAGACGAAAGGTCGAGACTCCGCAACTTATCATCCTGATAAGGAACCAAACCGTTCGCAAGGCACGACAGAAGTGTGAGAGTGGAAGTTGAAGCTGGCTGCTCTATCTATCGTGCACCTGGCGATGTCGACGCTGAAGTCGCTGCTCTTTTGTCGTGTCGTTTTGTGTGGTCGACAAAAAGGTCAAATTAAAAAGGCGGTGATACTTTTTCTGCCCGCCTAAAAATATTTTTTTTTTTCCCTTTTGTGGGGTTCACGCCAAGAAGTCACGCGTATGATGACTCAGCTGTCCTGTGTTCAGTTTCCTTTTTGGGCGACGACGGCGAGGGCGTCGTGGATGAGAGGGATGGAGAAAGGGATACTCGGGAGGAATGTGAAAAAAACTCCTTTTATTTGATATTATTTGGGCAGGTTGTGGTGTTTTAGTACTTGTTTGTATCGAGTACCTCTCCCGATTTGAGACAGGTGTTTTTAGTAGCGAACGTATTACCGAGAAATTGCTATTACAGCTATACAATATATACCAACGTTGACTTACGGATGCTTTCACTCTCCTTATTGCACAACTTTCTATGTAGTAAATACGCCGTAGGACCCAAATGGAAATTGTGTTTCTAATAATATATCTGCAGCGCAAGCGCCTGGACCTCTTGGGTTGGTTGCTTAGCGCGGTAAGTGGGGCTTTGGCTCGCTTGCAAGCTCGGCCACTAGTTAAAGCTTGCTGCTAAGGAAAAGCCTAAACGTCCTCCTTCACCTTGACATCATCGACACTGTTGCATCTTGTAAGATAAAAAGGGACCTTGCCTCCGTCAGCCTTTTTCATATCAGTCTCAGATTCCTCTTTTCCCTCCCCGAATTCCTGACCGTTTTCGCTTCCACCATACAGTTCTGCACCCCGACACTCTGTGACTCTGTATGTGGCTGTGACTACTCATATTAACTGCTAAAGCCGGTGCAGTGAAAATAGTAGAACACGTAGTCATTATTATGAAGCTTGCTACTAGCTTTCGAAATAAATTCCCTGTTATTTCTGACTTTCAACATTTTCCCTCCCTACCTAACAGCATATATATACTGGATAGCTTATGGTCGATACCACAACATACGTCCCAGGTGGTGTATGCGGGACCCTTACAACTAACAGCCACATCACGATCAGAGACTGGTGTATCTGAATCTCAACCTCAAGTAATATGGCTCAGACAGTGCAATCATTCTTCATCCTCGGATGATAGCCCCCTGCCAGATCTTGAAAAACCTGAAATCATATATGAAGATCGCCTTGTGGGAGGTCCAGCCTTATGCCGTCTGCCAGCTGCTTTGTTTCCTATATTCCGTGCCAACCCAATAGCGGACGTGTTTAATTCAGAACTACGGGAAAAAATTATGGAGGCTATCTAGGAGTCCAATATCAACTTCCAGGAGATGATAGTTCTTAAGCGGCGTTGGATGGAATCTCGTGATAAGCCTCTACCAGTTATACTGATTATTGCTGAAGCCAAATACAATCGTACAGTTGATGATATTTGGTTTCAGTTCTACTGGAAAATTCGGGCTATTTGTACCTCCGCTGGCCAACCAGAGGTTAATGTTGAGATCGGTGACCCCATCGCCTATATACCAATAATATCCTCTGCCGTTCTCTCAAATAACACTATTGTGCAACACTGGTTGACGCTGAAACCAGGATTCTCAAAATAATTAACGGGAAAAGGTGGCTTACCTTGGATGTACTGCGACGCGGTCCAGATATAGCGAAGGGATTATTACAGTTGTCATACCAATACCAGAATGCTCAACTAATGACGCATATTCCTGACGGCCAATAGGATTGTCGACGTCCTCAGTGCCACTGGACTTGATAATGTGGCACTCGAAATCGGGAGAGGAACAGTCTACAGCTCCCATGATATTGACAATAACTTCTTTGATGAAAGTGACACTAGCCCAAAAGCTCGTTTCGGAGGAAGGTTAGCTGGATTACACGATTCCAAAAGACTCGGAACTTTCGGTGGCTTTATATTTTTAGATTTTCCAGATAGCAAGTTTAAGACCTGTAGTCTTACCTGCTTTCACTGCGTGATCAACGATGATACTGACGGTTTAGCAATTAAAACATGGCAAACAAACGGCCTTCAGCCTAACGACCCGAAGAACAATATTGAAATTTCTCATCCTTGTCGCAGAGATTACGAAGATATAGTAGCTCGTTGCCGAGAGGTTATTACAGATCTTCAGCCGCCAGAGTATTATCGGCTCCTAGCATTAGCTAATGATCCTGAAGGACTCCTTAGCCCACAGGAGCAGGGAGTACTTGACCATGGACTAATACTTATCACTGCTCATAAAGAGAAGATCCGGTTTGCAGATGAATTTATGCGAGTAGGAATGAACTACTTCGGCGCGCTCTATGCTGGTTCTGGGCTCCGGCTAGATGAGGACAGGTATACCCTCGACTGGGCGCTAATAGATGTCAGTCGCCAAAGAGTGTCAGGAAACAAGCTGCTTGATGGACTCCTATCGAATCATTTCAACCCAACAGTACATCGAGGCGATGTCACGGAGGCGAAGTTTGATATGGTGTCAGGCCAGCACGTCTTCAAGCTTGGTCGATCGACAGGCTTTACGAAGGGCATCGTTAATGGAATTGAAACAACAAGATTTCGCTCTTGTGGCTTGAGAGGCCAATCTGGAGACACTTTATCGCAGAATTGCGACATCCAGTGGGCAATTGTGCCTTACAATGGGAAGTGTTTATTCTCCGCCCAAGGTGATTCGCTGAGTACCTAATAACGTGTCTCTCGGATACCACCCTGTTCCAGCTCCACGGACTAGTCACGGCGACGTAAGATGTCGCGCCAGTCGTCTCGGGTTCGTGACGCCAGAGTGTTGGCGGGCTCCCCTGCTGCAGATGGAGACCTGGGCGCCACGCGGGAGCCTGCCTTCGGGAATATGCGTGGATATCTGCAGACCTCCGTTTTTATCGCCTATGTATATACTCTGGAGCATCGGTATCAGACAACAAAGCCTCCATGGTTGGCCTTCTTTTTGCAGGAAATACTTTTTGCGCTGCAACATACATGACACCAGTAGCAGCTCTCTTCGAGGATATCAAAAAGGTTACCGGCGCCTGTGGAGTAAGGGTATTTGACGGTATGGACGATTGAACGAGAAAAACGCAGTGCCATTACAGCAGTACAGATATATGTGTAAGAGTAATTGTATAAATAAATGTTTGATTGATGAGTTATCATATTCTGGTCTAAAAAAAGTAAATAAAATAAAATAATGGACAAGAAGGAAAAAGTAGTTAAATATGACACAAAGAGAGTGTGATGGCGGCTGCAAAATGACGTTGTGGTAAATGCATCAAGCATGCACAGCACAAGCCACCAGCAAGTGCACAGGCAAAAGGAAAAAGGTAAATCATCAATAATAAAGATGACTTGCATACAAGTATAAACAAGGTATTTGACTGAGAATCGAAGCATAATAGATGTGGGGAGAAATTGTTGGGAATAGGATAACACATCACACATTTCAGAGCATGGCATGAGAATCGAAGGGAGGGAATAAAGTGGTATGATATCACATGAAATAATGACCCATCAGAACAGAAATGAAAAAACAGGGACGAGAAAAGGAGAGAAAAAGGGTATCAAATCAGCCACCGTTTAACATTGCACGACTCCTCAAGACATGTGGAACCAGGGTCGAGTATCAGATCCAGTCCCGCTTGGCGACATCCCCGCCAAAGACGTAGGCGTACACGCCCTTGACTTCCTCAAGGTACTCTACTACATCGACTTTGACGAGACCCCTTGCAACGAGGATCTTCTCATCTTCGTCTCGGAAAAGCTGACCAGCCGAGAACTCCTCTGCGACCTCGTTAACTTGTTCTAACTCTTTGCCGAATGGGTGAGCATGAACGTCTTGTGCATGTGAGCGGGAGGAGGCGGCGGCGGCGGAGTGTGCGGCGTGGGCAGAGGAGAGCGAGGTGGGGTTTGGAGAAGACGTGTTGGATAAGGATGGGGTGCGTCGACCCGCCGAGGCGTTTGACGAGTTTGACCGTTGGCGAGAGAGTTCCTGGTGTGACTTCTTGGTATGGCTAAGTGCACGGGTGGGGATGGAAGGTGGAGGAGCGCTCTGTTCCAGGGAAGTTTGTGGTGCTTTTGGTGGGCCATCCTTTTGCTGGTCGAAGTAGCCGGTCAAGTTTTGGTGGCCGTTGTCTCGCAAAATAGGCGAGGCCTCTGTCGAACCTGGAAGCGACGGAGAGGTAATTGTGGTGCTGGGGGTGTGTAACGAGTTACTGGCGTCGGACTCGTCTGCTGATCGGAAGGAGGAAGAAGAAGAGGTGGAATGCTGGAGGTTTGAATGTTGGCGTTGGATGATGGGTCGCGAGATAACTGGCTGGTTCTTGTGACTGTGTCCATGGTTGCCATGTTTCTGGATGTCTGGTGCAGTGTATGCAAGCAGGTTTGTGGTGGACAGCAGCTCGACTGGCGCTGATATCTTGGATCGCTTGATGGTTCCGGCGGCGAAACGAGGCTGCCCTTCGCGGAAGGGCATGGGGGCGGACACCTCTGGCCGCTTCTGACGCTTGGTAAAAGCGCGGCCGAGCGAGGATGACACTGCAGCGGACATTTTGCCTGTATATCAAACAGGCAGCCGGGTGATGCGATGATAAAGGAAGTAGATAGAAGTGAATTGATGGCAGAAGTAGTCGGCGGCCTTTTTAAAATGATGGGATCTTGCGCCGTTTGTCGGTGTTGGTCCTTCAACTGGCGGAGAGAAATGGCGCAAACGCAGAAGATCCGCGACGGAGAATGAGTGAAAGCGCAAGAATATGCGATAAAAAAGAGCGTAAGCTAAGACGGAAACGACGTCGGTCGAGTATCAAAATGAGGGTGGGATGGTCCGTCTCGTCGAGTTCGAATTCGAGTCCGAGTGACTGAAGAGAGCGAGGACAGCAGCAAGCGATGCCTTGTGCCTTGTCGGTGCCTTACGGGCGTCAAGCTGGTAGGGCAGGGCGGTAAGTGACGATCTACGTGGACGAGTGAGAGCGGCAACCAGGACGCTCTCGATCGAAGGGCGCAAAGAGAAGAAAGACAAGACGAGGAGGAAGAAGAAGAAGAAGAAGAAGAAGAAGAAGACGTCAAGGAGCGGCGACGATGAAGGTGAGAAGAAGGCGAAGAAAGACGAAAAAAGGCGGAAGGAGGAAAGAAGAAGGTTGATTATGTAAGAGGGGCTGCTTAGGTAAGAGGGGAGACTTTAAGGTTTTCTCAGAGTGGGTCCTCTTTTTTGGGTTTAGTCCAGGAACCGCTTAGTCAGACTGACTTCAACAAGCGAGAAAGCGAGAAGAAGAAGAAGAAGAAGGAGAAGACAGGAAGAGACAGGCAGGAAGAAGGCAGGACAAGGGGAGGGTCAGAGGAGGGCGAAAGCAGCGCTTTTAGAAGGGGGGGGGGAGGCCCCTTTCTTGGGTGCTGGTCGCCTGTCAGCGCGAAGCGAGCCGGGAAGTCTGGTGAAACGTCGACGGGCGATCAAACAGCACCCGGCCAGTCACGGGAAGTCGCCAACACGTTGCGGTCCAGGTCACAGAGAGTGACTTGTTGTTGCATGGATGGGCGGGTGAGCGGAGGGACGGCGGGATGGACAGTCCATACATATATACGGGGCCATGTCGATGTCAGATGAGAGACTGCATGGGCGCTTGACGCGCACACAAGACAGCAATCATTATAGCGATGGTGAAGGCAGAGATAAGGGCGGCGGCATGGAGGTGGCAACGGTCACCTTGTGAGGGATGAGCTCTAACCGCCGTCTAAAGATGAAACCTCAATGCAAAGGACATACTTCTTACTCTGGAGAATCAAGAGCTCGTATCTAACAAGTTGGTTACTGCTCGCCGGCGCTGACAGTCCAATGGGGGCTAGCTTAATTGTTTGCACGGCCAGACCAGGTCAGCCATCTTCTTAACAACTAAAGACTTCAGAGTGGACTATATGCTCACTCGCATGCCGGGTGAAGATGTTGCCCGGAAGAGAGTGATGCTGGCGGTCTGCGATGCGTGGGCCAAGCAGCAGCTGTTTGCGAGAGAGGCACAGCTCGTGATTTGTCGCCAAACACCGCAGAGGAGTGCCCATCGAGCTCTTCAGTTCACCGGTCTGGGGCATTCAATGCCTCCTTCAAGATGGAGTTTGAAGATGGCTGTGCTGCCATGATACGCTTCCCCAAGTGACCATGCTGCCTGAAGAAAAGTACGGAGCTGCCATCAGATACATAGAGGACCACGCTTCCATCCCCGCACCCTTTATCGTACGCTGGGGTACCAAGGATGAAAGCCTGTTGCATCTGGGGCTCTTCATTATCACGGATTACATAGACCGTGCGATGGATTTGGGTGAGGGCCTTGACACGTCTGTCCTGGATCTCTGAACATTGATCAGGCTGAAGCTTGAAATGTTGTACGGACAGGTGGCGGGCGTGCTGCAGCAGCTTTCCAGGCTATCCCCGTATTGAATCCCTGGTGCAGAGAGACCAAAATGACTTTATTTGGAAGGTAACTAGCCAGTCATCCGTTCTGCATCATCATGAACAAATTGCTCAAAGTAGGAATCCTGCCACGCTCACAGCCCCAGACACCGAATATCTTGCTAAACAAAGGACCTGCAGATTGTTGAGGTCATAGGCTCGGAGTTCACCTACGCTGTCGCTCTTGAGTTCTCTCCTGTTTCCCCCGGCGGCTGTTAGGAAGAACTTTGCGTTTTAACTCGGTGTTTTGGGCATTTATTAACCGAAGACTCATTGTAGACCAGAGTTGGCGGGGTACGTCAAGTCTCCTTGAACAAGATGAGAAGGCTGAGATGGAGATACTTGTGGAGAGGGATGCTGGGAGAAATGAAGACCAGAGTCCTGGCTTGAGAGCTGGACGTAAATTGAATCAGATACGTCTTAATTCATGTATAATGGCACAACGGTCTACAAGCTGTCAAATAAATGACATATCATACGATATATAGGGTGGATGGTACATCATGTAGATGAAACGCCATGATATATTAACATCTTCTAGATTCATCCATGCGTTGCAACTATCAATTTTTATGCCATCTCCTCGTCGTCACTATCGTCATCTTCTTCCTCATCGTCAGCAACACCGACCATCCCCTGTCCGTCGACTTCGGTTCTTCCTTCCCTGACACCCATCTCCTCCGCACTGGCCGCCATCTTCGTAGCAAACGCCCGGCGGACTGCCCCGTTAGTTGACGTATCCCATACCTTCACTACCCCTTTACTGCCTGCAATAGCAAGGCGGAACGCAACGCCCCTATCGGGTCCAAAGCCAGTTGAAAATACTTTACCGACTTCCTCCACTTTACGACTGACGACCATGCTTGGCTTATTGTCAAGGATGTTCCATATCTTGACCGTCTTATCTGTTGACCCTGTCACGAGGAAGCCAGGGATGAAAGAGTTAACATCAAAGGACGATACCGAGCTGTCGTGGGCCTGCAGAGTCCATAGTGCAGAGTCCGGTGTTCGAAGATCATGACAGACTACCTGGCCGCCGTCCGTAGTAATGTAGAAGATGTTGGAGTCCAGCGGATCCCAGCGCACGCATTCGACGTCGCTTGGGACTGTCCAGCGACCAACTTGGCCCTCTGCAGAGCGCATGTCGCACATTACCACACTGCGGTCGTACGAGCCGCTTAGTAGGACAGTTGATTCCTTCGAGTGCCAGTCGATAGAGCATACTTTGTCCGTGTGTTGATTGTATGACTTGGCGCAGCGGGTGGTGTTTGCGTCGTTCAGATCCCATAGTTTGACTGTACAGTCTGCGGATGCAGAAGCGAGCAGGTTCCGATGTTGGCGGTTTGCAGCTAGGCCCAGCACGGCATCGACATGGTATTCATCATTTTTCTTGATCACACTCTTCTTCTTTTTCTTCTTCTTCTGCTGCTGCTGCTCCCCCTCATCATCCGGGGCCTTGCCCAGGATCGCACTAGGGTACATACAATCCACCACATCCAAATCCCAAATCTCAATGTCGGGTTCCATCGTCCCAACGGCGACAAAGTTGCCATGCGATCGACCCGTTTCCCTGGCCTGGCTGCCAACGGGTATATCAAGCCATTCGACACAGAGAGGGATCGCTGGCAGCATCACATCATGATGGACATATAGGTTGTCTGCCTCGTCTTCATAGACATATACCTCTAGATGCGCCACCTCGTCTTCCACTTTACCTGCTAACAAGAGGTTATCAGACGGTAGAATCTGGAGATCCTCTCGCTCTTCGTCAGAATCTTCACCGGCGCCATCTGCTTTGTTCGGTAACACCAAGTAGGGATCTTTCTCGTGTGGTTGATGGTAGGCCAGAGATTGGACATTGCCAAACATGGTCACTTCATCTCCCTCCTCGTCTCGTGGGTCACTGTCGTAGTGTTCCATATCGTATTCCGCCAATTCATCATCCTCGTCATCCGCCTTGCTCTTATTCTCCTTCTTCTTTTCACTCTCCTTTTCTACCTCTGCGTCGTCTACTGTTTCCATAACATCGTCGTCGTCTTCCCCTTCGCCATCTGCATCCCGGGCAGCTTCCAGATCTGTCCGCGCACTTTCAAGCTGAACTTTGGCGAGTTTCGAGATTCGACTTATCTCTGCTTCGTCTATCTCGTAGCGTTCAGGGAACTGGGCAGCCACGCCTCGTCGAACCCATCCTGTAGCTGTAATCATCGACATCCTGCGTTATCCAAAGCCGTGCTACGGCTGGCAATGCCTATGGTGGGGGATGCTCTAGTAGCAGTATCAAGTCTGTAGTTGTGCCTGCAATTGCGCAGGACCAGCCAAAGAAACTGGCTAGGGTATAACTCCAATGTGTTTATAACGACTCCAGCGTCTTAATGGCCAGTCAGTCGTCTCCTGAAATTAAATATGAAGCTGTAAAAAATTGTAGCTGAGGAAGAAAAGGCGAAGCTACATTTTTTTTTTTTTTTTTTCTTTCCTTATCAGAAATTTTTGTTTTGTTATCGGGTGGATTTTGCGCTCGCCGCCTTGTGGCAGAATTTTATCACCGAAAAGTTGACGTCGAAGAAAGCATGAAGAAGCAAAGCAAGCAACAGACAAGCAGACGACGAGACCGAGAGACTGAAAAGAAGCCAGCCAGAGACAGGAATAAAGCAAGGAAATAGGAGAATAAAAGAAAAGAGGAGACTGCCACAATGCATTCCCATCTGCACACAAAAGACAACATCAGTAGGTGCTCCAGATGACGGCTTCTACTTCCGCGTCGACACTTGCTGATCATCTAGACTGCGAGGAGGTCATGACAATGCTGGACGAATGCCACGCAAAGGGCTTCATGCACAAAGTCTTCGGAAACTGCAACGATATCAAGCGAGAAGTCAACCGCTGCCTGTACGCCGAGAGACTGAAGCGGGCATCCCGGAACCGAGAGAAGGCTAGGGAGAACAGGGCGAGAATCGAGAAGCTGTGGGACGAGGATGCCGCACAAGGACAGATGAAATCGAGCAGTTAAGGCTCCGTCATGGACGCATGGTTGTCCCTGGGTAGCTTGGAGTTTAGGAGTTTTTGTAATTTCCGCTGTACAAATTACATTCCGGGTTATCTCTACTTTAGTGTACGATGGAGGAGATGAATTATGGCCGTGAAAGCTGTATTATTATATTCACTTTAATACCTCTAGACAGTTCATATCCCTGTATCTGCAATTGGGGTATCAATCTCCTTCTCAGCTCCGTCAATCTGCTCAGCTTTCTTTTTATGCCGTCGTTTCCTCTTCGGTTTTGACTGTTCGCTTGCTCCATCTGTTCCCTTATCAATATCATTGTCTCCTTTTGCTGTATTTTCGTCAGCCTTCTTCGGTTTCTGCACAGTCTGGGTCCTCTGTTTTGGCTTCTTCATGCTCAGCGGATTTACTCCCTTGACCTTCTTCTTTTTCTTGACTTCCACCCACTCTCCTCCATCTTCATCTTCTTCGTCTTCCCCTTCTGCGCCTCTCTTTCTCTTCCCAGTGATTGTGGCGGGTTCTATGAATCCACTTCGTAGCTTTCCTTCCTCAAATCCCTCCCGTATATGACTAGACGGCTCGCTCATAGGCTCTAAGATCATCACAGAGCGCTTAACATATATAATCGGCACACCGGGTATTTGTCTCGCATCTCGTCTCAGGTTATATCTCTGCCCTCGTTCCCTTGCTGTTGTAGTCCTTCCTGCGCCTGCATCCAATGAGGCAGTTTGCGCTTCTGGTCTGGCTGTGTAGTTGTCTCCGGCGCTGGATCAGCTGTAGCCAATATAAAATGCTCCTTATTCTTCTTCGCATCAGGGTTAGGTGATAGTAGGGACAAAAGGCATTCTTCTTCGTCAACAGGCGTGCTGTCTTCGTTGTGTGAGCAGTATCGGAGTGGTAGTGTGGTTGGAGGAGGGAGCTGTGGAGGTCGCAATTGACGCTGAGCATGGTCAGTGTCTTTCCGCAGTGATTGAGAAGCCATTATAGCCGCTAAAGTGCATTTTGTAATAACTATACAGCTTGTTAGCCAGGTTCATTTGAGCTGTCCCTCCCGAACGTGTAAGGTCGACTGACATGGCTTCACTTTGCCTTGTACCGTACGTTCCAAGGCAGGTACAAGGTCCATCTTAAAATTATACACTGACTGAAGGAAATGAGAGTCCACTGCAGACACCATGGATAGTCAGCGTCACTTCCCTCCTCATAACATTTTCGTGCATTCAAGTGCTTTACCTAGGACTTGATATGGCGCGCGGAACCCAAACGTGAGTTCATACTGGCGCATGAGCTTCTGGTACTTCTTCGATCGTTTCGCCCTCATGATTGCAGGATCTTCACTCTCTTTTCCTCAAACCGCAAGAAAGGGAAAGGTAACTTGATCTCTCAAGTATGGCTTCAATCTATTTTTCTCGGTGTCTTTTATCCTTATTTTTTTGCCTTTGAAAATGCATATTTGATGCCAAGATTTCGCCGGCTTGTGGGTACACAAACTTTTTTTCAGTTAGAGACGGAGAGTTAAGGAACAACATCCAAAACCAACGTCAAGGACGCAGACGAGCAATGACTTGTATTTATTCGAGAAAATATCAATATGTGCGAAGTGTATATATAAGACGCAGCTGACTCTACCTTCACTCTATGCGATTATTATCTTTGCTTCCCAATTCCCACCCAATAAAACGCCAAAAGCCCAATAACCCAACAAGTCAGAGATAACATCCAAACTCCGGCCAATCGCTGAAAGAAATATGCAGCCATCCCAACGCTCAAATCCTTTCCACGTTCCTGAAATGCATGCTAACGATTCGATCGAAAATACGAAACAAAAACACTGGTGGAACGCCCCGCGATCCTCCTCGTGAGATGTGGGTGCTTTTCAACCGGACCTGACAACACGGCCGGCAACAACACTGATATCATCCATTTTACCTGTACAACGCAAGGGTCAGTAAGATGAATCATGTCAACAACAGCACAGGGTCACTGAGATGCATACCTCCATTGACAGAAAGACCTACTTCCTGCGCCTTTTCCATGTATGGAGTTTGCGCGGCCGGGTCCAGGGCAACTGCCCTTGCAGTAGTCAAGAGCTGTTCAGCGACATATACCATCCTTCCGCCCCGACTCTCGAGATACTCGGCCGTCTCTCGCTTCTTCTTGCATATCTCCCATTTTTCGAGACTTTTGAGTACTACTTCTAGCACGTCATGGTCCCACAAATTATTTGTTACTCCGTCTGAAACCACAATAACAATATCGTTTTCTTCTATTTCCAGTACGGACAATGCTGCGTTCTCTCGAGGTTTGTCCACACTGTTGGTCCCTAGCTGCATGGGGCAATCGAACCAGTGCCACTGGCCATCGGTTTTGAACACAATACGCCTCTCTCTTGGGCGGATAACTAGTGTCTGACAATCTCCAAGGTTGGTGACATGCAAAAACGGAGTGGGCGTCTCTCCTATAATTTTGTAGCTCAGGAGTGCAGTCGCAGTGGTGGTGGTCCCCAGAATCTCATTTGGGGACGAGGTTGCCTCGACGGTCTCTTCGTACGCCCGCTGAAGACACTCAATCAAGTCCGGTTTCGGCGATCCAGTGAGGCGGTTTTCAACTTCCAACGCCCAGTAATGGAGTATTAGTCTGGACCACAATCTGGAAAACAAACTGTGAGTAACTGTTTTACCCTTTCGAAAGGTTCAAGAGGTACATACGCGGCATGGCCCTGAGGCTTCGACGCCCAAGCTCCAACTCCGTCGTTCACGCCCAAGAAGTTTGGGGAACAAAGAATCGCATCGTCTCCGTTTGTTAGCCCACGAAGAGGCTCCCCATTTACCGACGGCCGTCTATCATGACTCTTGTCATGTGTCGTCAAAGCATCTGAAAACGAAGTGGAAGGCGGCGATAGGAAAGGCGGTGGGAACGGCCGGGACGGTCGCTTTGGGATTATCGAGTAGCCAGTGTCAAAATAGAAAGGAGGCCATTTTGATCGCACAGGCTGCACATTTCTCTCTGCGGTCGGGGTCGAGATGTCAGATATAGGGGCAACGGCCGGCGACCACTGGATAAATTGTCGCAGGGTTGGGAGTTTCCAGTTTGATGATATCAGAAAGCGAGTGAAGGCAGGGGTAGTAAAGACCATTCCAGCATGAGTTTATCTGCACTTGGAGCAGGCTCACTGTTGATGCTTCTTGGGTTTAATCAAACCCTCAAAGAATATTCTCCGGTTTAGGTAGGATGAAGAGATCAGATGGATTAAATATTGTCATCCTATTTTCTTTTTCTTCGCCCTCCTTTGTTTTTGAAATCGGACAACTTCCAGTTTTTACTAACATGCGCCTCTCAACACAGCTAGACTACGCAGGGTACAGGGATAGGCAAGCGCAACGATAACCTGACCTGATAATTCTCCGTTAAGGCCTTCGTGTTTTTTCTTTTGCGACAATTATTGAGCGCCGGAATATTATATCTTCCGTCGGTAAATAACCAGCTCACTGCCAGAGAGGGGATTTTTATTTCTGTCTCAATGTCTCCTTTGTTATGTGCGCTCCCCAGCCTAACTTATATCACGCCGCATCCAGGAACCGGACCTGGAAGCGAATGGGCATGCCGCACGAATTCGATTCCTGCCGTCCGACTCAGTGGGGCGCTCTGGTTGAAGTTTGAGTGTGGTCTTTGGCCTAAGAGTGGCAACCGTGCAGATAGATATCGCGGACGTTGGCCGAACCAAATCACTGCCATTCGGCCTCCAGAGCGAGCGGTCGAGTTTGCGACGATAGAGAAGCTAAAGCGCAGCGGCGACGGCTATTTAGTCCACGGCTTTTCTCTCCAATCACCCGCCCTCACCTTGGCGACTCCGCGTCGTTCGGTCGTTAACCGTCTAGCTCTGGCGGCGAGCACCGAGAGTCGCGAGTCGGAAGTCACTCGTGTCTCACTCGTGTCTGGAGTAGTTGACGAGGGGACGACAATGTTGTTGCCGCCATACGGTAAACTGCCAAAGTAAGTGAATGGGATCTAGATTCCAAGTCTTCCGTTCTAGAAGCCCTAAAGCCGGGCGCTGGGTCTGGGGAATCGATGTCTTGATGCACCGCAAATGTATGGATGTACAACCATGTAAGGTATGGAGAAGCGGGCGCTTAAGTGCACGTGACATGGCTTTTGCAGTTGTCCACAACTTCAACTTCATATCGAGTTTCATATCTGAACTTCAACGGTGGAAATACACTCAAAGCAAGAAAAGAATGAAGGAAAACCGCAGCTAAAATATGCATAAAATCATAGAGCATTGCTCGTGCTTGTTAAAAGTCCTTTGACAGAAAAAAAAAACCCCCACGGCCTTCAACTCCTCCCTGTTCGTTCAATCATAAAAGTCGTCAATATGTGGTCATTCATATGGCATTCAGCCCTGTCGTCGAAGTACGCCATCACTGATTCGCTGTCGGTACTGAAAATCCATGTTGAAGTCAAAGTAGTAGTTGTCTTGAGCGACAGCCTGCCAATAGTGGTCTCGGAAGTGAGTGATTTCGTCGTGGAAGAACTCCAATCCTCTGTTCAGGAAACATGTCATTCCGTGCAAGCCAATGCCCTGATAGGAGGCAGATAATTCTTCGAACAGGATCACTGCCATGTCCGCACATCTTTCAACAAATGGTCGTCGGAGGCCAAGGTCCTCTTCGTAAAGTAGATTCATCCTACTTGTACAGGGACAAATTCTCCATCCCTTAACAGTACATCTGCGAGAACAAGTGCAATTTTCAAGGCATACACAGAGATTCTGCTGAACATATTGGCGAACCACTACTTGGCTATTCCGACGTCTAAACTCGCCAACAGTTATACCATGTAGCATAGCACATGCTGCTTCTCTGTTTGCTTGTATTCGTCGTTCTTCCGCATATGCCGGGTTGGATGTCCATGCTGGTGGAGGGGATTTAACCTTGACGCCGGCGCATTTGCCTCGTTTTCTCTCCCGTGCTGTAATACCCATGTACTTCTCCCTCAGAGTTGCAAATATCATCTCAGGGGACGCATCGTAAACAGCGTTAAGCCCGCTCCACTTCATGCGGTATGGGGAGTCTGGGTCGGTGATCAGGCTTTGGATATATTGGCGGTAGCCAACTGGGTCATCGGCGAAGTACCCAGCCTCCTCGCCCATTAGCATGGTTTGCTGGATATAGTCCTCTTCTTGGTGTCGAATGAGTTCTGTGTTGAGCACACTGCACACTTCTTCTGACAGTAGGAGGCATTTGCACGCCTCGAAGATCAATCTAAGGTGTTTGATTTCCGGAAGGCCCTTGCTTCGAAGAAGCCTTGAGTTGGTTCTAGAAAAACGATAATCAAACTCGAAGCTCTCTTCAATGTCAATTTGCCGGATTTCACTCTTCACTCTTGCAAGTAAGATATAGAACAGGTCTTCAACCGCTGCAAGGAGTTTGGCGGAGTAGGGCTGTGTCAATTCTTTCTCCACTCGGGAAATATGAAATTTTATATCCGTTGGAGTGTCGTCCAACTAGATACCGATTGTTAGCCTAGCGTTCTTTTGAAACGCAACTGTTCTTCAATATTCCCTCTTACTTCTGATCCAAATGCCTTGAGAATCTCAGAAATCATCTTGGCGACGCCATAGACCTTGGAATAAGCCATGACGGCTCTGCCTTGCCTCCCAGACTTGCTGTCTTCAAATGTCTGCGGACCGCAGAATTCTGCCTCACTTGACCCAGGAATATATCTAACTGGCTGTAGGAACTCCATTGCTTTCCGAAAATACCTTGAGGTGGGTATAATTGGATTCTTGAAAGGGGGTGGAAAGGGGTAGTTCGTGGATTCAAGAGCTGTATATCAGAGATAGCTGGCTGTTGTAAGTATGGATGGAGCTCTTGGTAATATTCCTGGAATGGAGCGTCATGATGGAAAGGAAAAGGAAAGGCAGAGCTGAAAGGGGGGGGGG